ATTCATTCCAGATCTGTTCTTTGTGTGGTGTCAGACCTTCATCGAACTGTCAGTCTGCTGTTCATCCCAAATGTGTTTCCTGTACTGCAGTAACTCAGGTTAAGCTGCCATTTTAGTTCAGGCTTTTCAAGTGCCAAACACCAGTTGTATCATCCAAGATCATCCAACTGTATCTTGCTGAATTATTAGGTGGTGATTCTAAACAACACAGCATAATCTATCACGGTAATTTAGCAACTAATGCATATCAGGCTCTTGTTTATGATTAATTTTTAGAGCATTTTTCCATCATACTGTAAAGTACAGTTCTCGGTGGTATTTCTGTTGTTTTATTCTCCATTTAGTGAAATATGCAGTTATCCTGCTTGAGCTAATGGAGCAGATTATAGCAAAAGGTGTGATGGATGTTGCTTTTGTTACGAGTGATTAACGTGTGTTCTTACAGTATACCACCTTTCTGAATACCATTTATTCTTTTCTTCAAAACAGGGAGAGTGGCTTTAAAACATCGTCAAAATATTTCTGACTTCTTTGTTATCTGAAAAATGTCAACCCTTAATAATCTGAAAATGACGTTTTTCTCATATGATGCAGTCAAAACAGAGATTATGGGAGAGGTTGTAATAGATTTTTTCTAATTATTCTCCAAAAATCATCCCAGAAAAATCACTACTAGTCTAAGCTTTAAGAAGTCCAGCACTTTTCTGGAATCTTAATGCTGACTGCAAAGCTTGAACTGTTTCCTTTTTCTGGAGAACAGTTTTAAATAAACCTTGAAATTAACCTGTAGCCCCTGTCTATTATTACTAAAGCATTTTTCCAGGTTGCTGTCAGTCAGGACTTGGCAAGGAACCAGATTGGTGCGGGTCAGTTTGATTATTCCTCTGCCATGTTCCTGGGGCTTACAGGTGGGTGTTAGAGAAAGTGTGTACTGAGGCTGGGCATGTGAATCTCACTGAATTTGCTTTAGCACAGGCCACGTTCCGAAAGGTTTGTATTGGGTTCTCTGTTCCAGTGGGCTTCAGGAAGGCATTTTAGTATAGACAGACTGATGGACCCTGACTGGAAAAGTTCTAGTACTAAGCCTGCAACTACATGAGTAGGTCTGCATGTGCCACCTCTTGGAAGATGCTGGACTGGGTCTTGAAAGCATTGGTAGACCGAAGTTACTTCATCAATTTGGCCACATTTGCTGTACCATCACTTGTGTGATCTGTAGCATTGTTATCATCTGGGATTTTCCACTACACAGGATACCTTCATTCTCTTGTTACATAAGGTAATGGAGAGCTGATACATGAGACAATGAATTCGGATTGTATTCGGATATTATTTATGGAGTATTTTAAGGATATTTGGGACAGGTGAATGTGATAGGTGATTCACAAGTCCTTGATACTGAATGTTATGTGGAGGCCCAAGCAGATACAATAGATCAGGTTTCTGAATCAGTTGTCTGTATGAGAACTAAACAGTGTTTATGGTACAGCTGGGAAATAGTTGAAAGTGACTTGGTTTTGTTTTGTTTTTTAATAGAAATGGAAACATTACAGCACAAATTGACTAGTGGGTTGAACAAAAGATGGAAAGAAGATGAGGAAGGCAGGGCTTAGGGTAAAAAATAATGAGGCTTGATGCATTTTTTCGACATTACTTTTAAAATTTTCTGTGAAATGAGGAATGTATATCATAACTTTAAAAAGCATTTCCTTATGTATTGCAAATATAATTATTTCTTGAGTCAAGTACTCTGTTTCAGTATAATAGTATAATAGCTCTTCATTGGCAGATAGATCCTTAATATATATGGCATTTAAAAATGAGTGACAGTGAATAGTTTGGGTAAATATGTGTAGGAGGCTGTTTTTCTTATTTAAATATCTTGATGCAGTTAAGTAATTGTTTCATATATCTAGACACAAGATTTAAGTTAATGTTTACATATTTGCCCTGAGCTGAACTCCTACAGGATTTTATTACTCAGATTAACAGGTGAATGTTATATGCTATAAACTGCCTAAAGTATAAATCTGCTGAAAGTCCATGCCACCTGTCTGAAACAAGCAAACAATACACCTTCATCTCCTCATTAAACCAAATAAAAATATTGGGCACGTAAAGGGTTTACTAAAGAAGGATAGAATGGTCTGCTTTTGATTAATCACAAGCAAATAATAATTGGGAAAAGCAAGATGTTCTAATAGCCTTTTGATTTCACAAATAACATTTTAAGCACGAACAATTCTATTGATTGCTCACTTTGAGGCACACATTGTAAACAGTCACTTAATAGTATCTTTAGGGCAAATGAGTCTTATTGCATTAAGTAATGGGAATATCACATTGCACCTTTTTTCTGTTTGATGCTCAGTTTTTATTTTGCCTTTGCCTTTCATTTTACCTTGTTACAGTTCTAATTCATTAACCTATCCACAGTTGATGAAGTTGTTAAGCCTTAGTTAAATTTATGCTCTGTAGAGCTGTCACATGCTTCTAAACATCAACTGAGAATGATGCAGATTTTGGATATTTTAAAGTCTAATAGAATGACTCGGTTTGGTAGGTTAGGGTGAGATGAGTTAAAATATGTGACATGTCTCTGACATGTCTCTGAACTTACTGAGATGTAATGTTTGATAGAAAACATAGTGAGACATAATATTTCATGTAAACCATATGAACAGTTTTGCATTCTTTCCTTGCTGCCTGAAGTAACAAGCAGTATGCTTTGCCATGATGGGCTAGTCATTTGGATCATGGGAAGATGCAGCTTGTAGTGGTAGGGCATCAGGCTCTTGGTGAATGTTTACAGCAGATCCAGAAATGACATGTGAAGCTGGTGGAAAGTATCTCCTTGTTGAGGCTATTGTACATTACATTGTATCGCATTTCTTCAGTAGAGGTGAAATGAGTAACTAATGGAGTGGTGGAAGTCACATCTGATCCAGGGAAAAGGAGTACATCAGTGCACTACATTGAATCCTCCTGGATTAATGTTGAGTGGGGACTCTTACCCGCTCAATTCCTTACACTGTTGGAGATTACAGTGAATGCTTAATGTTAGTTTTTATTTCTTTAACCTAATACAAAATGAATTAATGTCCTATTATTCCTATCCTATTATTCATTTCCTGTTATTCCTATCCTGTTATTAATTTCCTAATCACTTAAGGAGCGTGTATGGAATCATGTTTGACCTGTTTCCAAAACCAAAGTATATAGCTGGTAGTTTGCAATAGGTTATGTTTTAGTCTTCTTTTAAAAGGTAGGAATCACTTCATCTCTTATGTTTAGCATTGTTACTGGTTCACTATAAAGCATTCTTTGATATAGTTCTAATCACACTAAAGTTGACTTTTAAATTTTGTGAAAGGATTAAATTAAAATTTTCTCACTGGTTGATTATTAGGCCTAGTGCACAGTCGCATCAATTGCTAGTGAAGTCCTGGATGGTCAGCTTTAGTTGAAGTGTCAGAAGCCAAAATTGGAAAACCACAGTAGATTGGTTTGGATTTGGATAGTGGGGATGATGAAACCATGACTGTGATTGGCTATACTCTGTGAGCAGAATACAAAGGGTAAATGTATACTCGTGGGCATTTAGGACCATGGTTCTGCCTAAAAAGTGTAAGGGTCTATGAAACTAGACAATTCCAGATATGGGGGAAGAAACTGGAATAATTTATTGAACACACGAGTGCAATTTAAGGGTCTTGGGACCTGGACATGTTAATGAGGAGGACGGGTTATGATAATAAGGGAATTACACAAGTTTTTACTACAGTTACCCAATTGATTAGTATTTCCCTCAGCCAGGATTACATGGGGGGAAGAGGATAAAGGGGTTTAAACATGGTTCGATAACATCATCTCAAAGTCCTTCCTTATTTTGCTGCAGGAGCCAGGCTAATGCACATGGTTGCGTATCTACAGGTCTTGTGAGGAAGGTCTAGTCCCTCAGGTTACAGGATTTCTCTCAGTCCCTGTTGCCCAAGGTTTACTGCATAGACCCACCAAGCTCCTTTCTGCTGACAGCTGGGTTTTGGCTCCTACAAAAAAGGCAGCTTTGTCTTCCCCTCTCTGCTTGTGAATATTCTTGCTCCCTCCCTTTTGGTGGTGTTAGTGTTTCTGGAGCTGTGTGTAGATCACATCAGCTCACTGAGGAGCTGAAGCTAACTCCTGCAAACAAAAATAAGTTATCTGAAATGGGATGAGATGGTCAGAATGTGTCGTCTAAGTGTATTTATGGGTGCTTGTTATGTAGAGGCTTCCGTAAAATCAGTCTGGTGACAGTTACAGATTGCGTACATGAAACTAAAAGTTGGAAGCAGTATAGAGCTTAATAAGATGAAAGACTGTTTAGAGATAGAGCAGAGACCCAACACTATTGTGTTGGGTTTTTTTTAATTTTAGGCAAGGAACCTGCGGTTCCTGCCTTTGATAGCATAAAGGTACTGTCACATTTTGCCTAATATGACCCTTTATTTACACTTTTTAATAGCTGGTGGCCACAAACAATGTAGAGAGTGTGTGATAAGTGGTGTGCTTTCTGAGGATCCTGGAGGGGGAGTCTTACAAACTGCAGTTTCACAAATAGCTCCTTCAGTGTCAGAACTGATTGTAGCAGCCCTATAGATGTGCTACATGGTAGATCCTTCCCGTACAGTTGTAGCGTAGCTGACACTCCTGATTTTTCATTCACACCAGTGTAGTTTACCATGTATCTCTACAAATATTTGCTCCAACTCTGTGGGGTGTGGAAAGGCTGGCGCTGTGTTGGGACTTCTTTTTATTCATGCTTTTGGCTATCGCTCTGGTTAATGATTAAGAAAAAAACATAACAGGATAAAGAGTCAAAGTAGGACTGTTTTAGACTTGGAAGACTTCCTTGCTGTGTTCTTCTTTCCCACTCTCCATTCCTACCTCTGTCAATGTATCTGTATATGATAAACGAGTTGTACTGTAATGCATGTGTTGCAAATCACTGTCTTTTGCTTTAGCTTTTACCAGATTCGTGCATCTATGAAAATTCCTCCAAGAATTCCACACAAATTAGAAGCTAGTTTGTTACATGGAACTGGTAAGTGCCAAAACTTTTAAGAAATGTAAAACTTTTAGTAAATGAGGTAATTATCTTGCCTTGCTAATTAAGGATCACGCTTTTTGTCTTATATTGTTGTAACTAATATGTAAATGCTTTTAATTTTGTTACTAACACAATAAAAATATACCTTGTTCTTAGCAGTGAGACGTGAAAGTTGGTTACAGAATTTGCGTAACTGTTTTATCTCTGTTGATTGTCTTTGCTGGTAGCAAAACATGATGATTCCTTTATATTAGTGCCTTCAGTTTTTTTCCACTGATCTGCTCAATCTTCCCCATGTTCCAGGGTAAGATGACCAAGATCTCATTTAAGTAGATACCTCAAAATAGTGGAGTACTTCAGATACAGGCTCTTATCCAGATTGATAAGCCCATTTTTTTCCTGAAAAGAACACTTTGAAAGGATCCAGCTTTCAATCTTGTTCTGTTGTTGCCTGGTAATAAAGTTGAAAATATATTTAACCTCCAGAACAGAATTACCCACTCCCTCATCTTTTTGCTTTTTTAACCTGACATTCACTTTTGGTTTCTTTGTCCAGGCAAACTGAACCCAGGGAAAGCTGTTAGTGCTCTCCTAATTCTGTGTAGCCCACACCTCAGCGTGCTGTGAAAATGTGAAAAGCAAAAAATTAATCAAGTTTTTAAATGTCGAGTGGAATTATTGGAATTGCAAGGGAGAAAAAACTGCTGTAGTCTGAGAAAATGCGATGTGATATTACTGAAACCTGAATTATTGAGGCTATTTTGAAAGTAACTGAGTAGAGCAACAGTGTAGATACAGAATTTTGGTCAAGATTCCTGAATATTTCTTGGATTTTTGTGAGGTAAATGAGTAATTCTTATGAATCAAGATTGCTCCACTTCAAAGGCAAGGTTTAATGTAGTTTGGAGAATTTGACTCTGGTAGATATCCTTTACTAAAAAATATTGTTTGTACAGTGACACTTATTAATATGTTTTATATTGCTGGGAAAAAAAATTTCCATTTCAAGGTATATTTTAAAATGGTCTTAGGTTATTTTTTCAGAAAGCTTCAATCTTGTTATGAATTGTGACATATATGTTAGGTTTTCTGTCTCCTGTTACTAGGCATAAAGGATAAGACTACGGTTTGGTGTGAGTTTAGATCAGCAGTGCTATCAAAGAAAAAAATTCTGCCCTTGTTTCCCCTTGGCTGCTTTTTCTTGCCTTCATATTGCTCTGTGTGCCGTGACACAGGTGCCTGTTTCGGTCGGGGTGCTCAACAGGGTAGCTCATTCAGCTGACCAGCAACCATTTCACAAAAAACCAAACCCCTTCAAAGCCAAAAACTTGGAGCCCTTTTTAGATCAGTCTCTCAGGTTTTTTTTCAGGTAGTTACTGATAATGTTTGTCCCACAACAAAGCAAAAGAAAGGGTAGAAGCTGGTCAATGAAAGGGCGTTGGTTTGTCCTTGTGGACATGATAGTGCTCCGTTTTGCTGAGGATCCCTGCTTTCCGTTCACTTCAGCTGCTCGCTTATTTTAGCCGAGCTGGATGCTGTAACTCAGACTTGCAGCTCTCCTGCTGAAGGTGGAAGAGTAGCTGATACTAGTTCCTGAGACTGCTGTTATGTGTATAAAATAGCTACTATTAGGGTATGTGTGGAGTAGCACTAAGAGTGTTGACCTGTGTGGAAGTGTTGCGTGTTGACCACAGAGGAGACTGGTCAGGAGGCCACTACTCCCACTCTTGAGAATGATGTCCTGTGTTGATCAGGTACTTCTTCCTATACTTTTCTGTCTCTTCTCTCTTTCTCATACTTACCTATTCTAAATCCTGTCACTTTGATGTGTCATGGTTTTCCCACTCCAGTTCAAGTCTTTTTGCTTACTTCTAGCTCTCCCTAGCCTCTGCACAAGTCACCTCAGTTTCCTTACCTTCGTGTTTTCCCCTCTCCTGCAGACAGTTTGACCTCTCTCCTCCTTTTATTTCCTCAAGTCAAATATAAAGTCTTAGTTTTTCCTCTTCTTTCTGTTCCTTGGCATCTCCTTCCATCCTTTGCCCAGCCCTTGCCAGCTCTTAGTGAGGTCCTTTGTTAATAGAAATGGAAAACAGTTTATTTAAATTTCCCACATCAGCTAGTTCACTGGAATTGCTTGCTGCCCAGCATGGGTGTCATTACAGATATCATAGGGCGATTCACTTGCTTTAGCTCTAGCCTTGTGAAGGTCTCCTGTTATTCTTGTCATTTGAAGGAAGATGTCATGCTCCAGAAAGTTATAAGAAAGACCTATGTGTTTCTAGCCTGTATGAGGTTGTTTCAGATTTTAGGGTATTCTGAATTCCTCCTTCTCTCAAAAATTTGTGGCTGGTTTTCAGAGGAAAAAAAGTTGGGGGGGGACAACAAAAGCAGGTTAGGAAGGAATGAGATTCATCTGTTTTTATGATGCAAGAGTAAATTAATTCCCCGTTATTTTCCCCCTTCATTGAGGAAAAGGCTTTTTGTGTGGTTAGAAGCTTAGAAAGAGTCTTGACCAGTGAAGTCAGTGCACCGTTAATTTAAAAAATAGTAGTTCTGCCTTATTGACCTCATGTTTGTGAGACCTTGCTCCCTGTGTGGAAGTGGCTCAGCCTGTTTCTGACATCAGGTTTTCCTCTGCAGTTCCCCTTCTCTTTTGAGGGTGTGGATTCACATTACACTGGAGTCAGCAGAACTGAGGGCTGTAACTCAGGGCTGGACGGTGCACAGGAAGTGGGACCTTGGCTGTTTGTCTCCAACTCTTCTTTTGTATCAAAAGGAGCAGGATCCCTTTTGCTGATGCTGTGCAGTTATATCAGATTATGTGCCATGTGAAACCATACCTGCTCTGCCCTTCACCTGTAACAGATGACACAGGTGGACATAAGCTGAAAGTGGCATTATACATAGGGGAATTACACTGTAGTGATTCAGCCTTTGTAAGCATTTTGTCCAGGACACCTAAACCAAAGATATTTATGAAAGCACTTCAGCAAAACCCAGTATTAGTACTTGTTTCTAGTTTCTGAAAGGAAGTTGAACTAAGATGTTACTAAGATTATAGAGTGGGAATGTTTGCCAAGGGTAGTGATATTTTATCAGAGCCCCCAGATCTGTAGAGTGCAAACTGCAGATTCTTTGCCCCTGTGGATTCCATTGAAATAATTTATTAAGAAGAATCGAAAGAATTTTAAAAATGTTTTTCATCCCCATTTACACAATTTCTAAGACTTTGTGTTCTGGTAGAAGTTGATGTTATTGAGCTTTTTTCTAAGAGGAGTCATAAGAAAGTATCAGTATTTCTGTTAATTCTGTTCTTCCAAGTTACATCATCTTTTATCTATTTTTCTTCAGAGGATAGTACCTATCACAATACTTCCTGTGTGAAAACCCCTTGTTATTATGATAAATACTTCCTCAGTAACTGTTTTTAAATATTCTCCTTCTTGTTTCTTCTGCAAGTCTTTTAACATTTTTTTTTTGGCAAAAGATTCCCCAATAATTTATCACAGTTTTCTGAACTCTTTTTGATGAGTAGCCTCTGGATTGAAAGCATAAGTGTCATACTGCGTGAGAAATATAAGGTTCGGTTGATAAACCTGGAGCTGGTCTGGCCAGAGTAGGATGCAAAGATATGGAAGGCAAGAATGAGCCACCTCTGTTCTTGATTAATTCAGTGGAGTGGTATATGTCATTTAACCCCTTTGTCTCATCTGTAGGTAATTAAGAGTCTTCAGTGTGGTTAAACCCTGCAAATCAACATGAATGCTGGATGAAACAAGACGGATTTCAGGACTTTCATTAGAATTTTTAATGCCTAGAATGTCTTACTTCCATTCATAACAAAGAAAAAATTCTTCAATTCAGAACTTATATTAAATGCAAATTAAATTAAAAATATTTATACAGTGTTTCTTTGAAACAAAATGTACTCCTTCAAACTCCAGCAGTTGCTGACTGAAAACTGCTGGTATTATTAGTGTTACAGTTTTAATAGTGGTCATGAAACTGATGGAAATGATAGTTCCACTTACTTGCAGCTCTGAGTTTTCCAGTTATGTTAATACTTGTTTCTCTCTCCAGGTACAGATCTTGCCTTTCCTGCTTCAGTCCATGACAATATAGTTTGCAGTAAAACATTTCAGATTCTTTACAAAAATGAGGAAGTTTCTGTGAACGATGTGATGATTTTCAAAATAAAAATGCTCTTGGATGAGAGGAAGGTAATCTGCCATTCAACTTTACTATATTCAGATAATTCAGTCTTCATTATGTACAATTTGAATTGGTACAAATAAGGGACCTGAAAGATTTCATGCTTCTACAATTTCTTTGTAGATTGAGGAGTCACTTAATGAAATGAATTTTCTACTAACATTAGATCTACACTTCACGGATACAGACTATTCGTAAGTTTAAATATGAAAGTTTTTATTAAAGCGACAATATATGTTAACTTTTTAAACTGATTAAATCTGTATTATTTATAGGTGTAGTATGTTCATATTAGACATAAATGATGGTTAAAAAGAAATCCACTGCTCAAGTCTGTAAAGATTTCGTAACTGGTTTGTCTCATTCTGATAAATTTTTTTTCTTGGGGGAGATGCCTTTGCATTCCAAAGTATAGACCTATGCTAAATTGCCAGCTGTGTCAGTTATTAATAACTTGCATTTTAAGTACAGTTGTTCTAATTGTATGTTGGTTTCTTAATTTCTTTTTAGACCAGATGACCTGAGCACACTACAGCCAATTAGTAGCCGAACTTTAAAGTTGCACTTTAACTTACACCAGGGCCTTCATCATTACGTCAACGTTATGTTTGATTACTTCCACCTTTCTGTCATATCGGTTATAGTTCATGCTTCTTTGGTTGCTCTGCATCAGCCATTGATAAGGTAATCTCTCATTAATAAAATGCAAATACATTATTAAGTGTTCAAATGGAAATGCTATAAAAACAGAATAATTAAGAAGGAATTAAATCTATGGCCAATATTGTTTTCTGTATGGTGATTTTAGAATACTGGACCCAGAGGGATGAGAAACTTCCTGTTTTCAAAGTTACCTGAAAAAAATTTGGTTGTTTTTTTTTTTTGTTAGAAATAAGAGCATGTAATGTAGAAGAGAGATAATACCCAAGATCGGAGAAGTAGAGGAATGTATAAATATCTGTATTTATACATGTATATTTGTATGTATAAATATTTATGAATTTTCCTAATCAGGCAGATCTGCTGCTCACTTTAGTTAGTGACTGAAATAGCTGCCATTAATACAAATAGGGCACCTTCTGTTAGCTATCTTATCTGCACAGTTTTCAGTTACTGCTTGAATGGCAGTGATGTCTGCAAATGATGCATTTACTATTTTCTTAAAGTAAATGGAACCGGAGAATTTACTTTTCTCTTTAAAAAAGATTTTGCCTCATTTTTACTGGAGCCTTTTTTATATCATTTACTTGTGTCACCCTTTGCAATCTGTTTACTTCTCTCTGTCAAAAGTAAGTGTGAAAAAGGGCTGTACAGTCAGACACAGTCACACATATGAAGTGTTCTTTAAACAGCTTTTTCTTTAGCATATCTGTCTTTTCCTTCCTTCATTATCTTCACATGTACAATGATACTGCCCCTAAGTTTGTTCATATTCAAGTTCAGTCTGTACTGTAAATGCCCAAACCTTTAGCTTAAGATATTGACTGCTTGTGCCTGTCTTCACATCATCGGAGCTATATCTCTGTGTATGTTAGACAGCTGTTCTGTGCAATAGGGCTGTGCTGGTGTGGAGGATTCAACTGGCTTATGTGCTTTTTTGTTCTTTTTTCCCCCCTCCAAGTGGTTTGAGTTGTTTTGATGATGTGTTTTAGGCATGGTTATATATAGTAGATGAGCTAACACGTCTGAAGGGATAGTGCAGTATTATATGGGATAGAAACAAGTACTGAGGAGGTGGGAATTGTTGTTGGAAACTTCATCTGATAAATGCACTTAAATGCACTTTTTAATGCACTTAAAGTATCATCGTGTATGTAAAGTGTTCATTGCCACACTGTACTGCAACTGAAAGTGAGGCATTAAACCTGTATGTATCCCATAGCTGTAGGGCTGAACTTAACTTCATTGTCAGAAATTGAAAAATAGATTTTGTTACTAATTTACAGTTAGAAACGAATTTGTCCCTGCTGACCTTTTAAAAAGCTCTGTTTTTGGCTTTTCAAGTGATGATACAATAATGCGAATTAATTTCAAACCTCAACTTGATACAGCTTGTGTAAAGAGATATTGGAACAAAACAGCAACTTCTATGCTGCTTCCATTATCTTTAGAGTAGATTGTTGCTGGTGTCCACAAAATTATTTTAAGGATTCACATTGTCCCTTAAATCAGCTTAGGATGGGGAGAGGAAGAAACTTTCAAATTTACAGTGTTTTATTTCTGCTGGGCTCCCCCATATTTAGTACATAGCAAATACTTGATAGTTGCAGTATCCACATCTGGCTCACTTTTCTGGAGCACCTCTTTCTGAAAACCTGAAAATTGCAGGCATCACTCCTCTTCATCCTTTGGGCTTTCATGGGTGGCAGTTTTCCTCCTCTGTTTGCATCATGCTTACATTATTGACACGTCTTCCTTTCCTATGGGGGGTTTACTTTTTGAGTGTTTTGTTCTTCATAGTAGCATCCAGGTTCACTTTCTCTGTGAACAACCAGTATTAACACTTCCATTGAAAGAGAGGAGCTAATTTTACTTGGTTACAGCCCTGAAGGCCTGTGCAATCTACTCTTTTTTATTAACCTGTCATTGCTTATTTCTGCCCGTTACTTAATAGTCCTCACTTTCTGCATTCATTTATTTTTCATTCATTTTTTCTAGTTCTTTGTTCTCACAAGGCTACTGTTGCAGTTTGCTCTGTTCTCCCAGGGGTTCAGGATGGGATCTCCTCCTCAGTAGGCAGAGGTCAGGCATCCCTTAGGAAAACAGCAATGGCAGTTTGTGTGACAGCTTTTCAACTTCTTGCTACTGCTTCATTTTTAAGAGGTAAAGTCCCCACAGCAAAGTTGGCAGAAAATGAACACTTCTTACCTGTTATAGTTCAGAATTTATCTCTCTGGCTTAAACTTTCAGGAATATTGTTTAAATTAATTGAGAATTGCCTTAGAAATAATGAGGAAGAGGTCCCACAAATCTCCTGGCCTAGTCTGCTGACCTTCATGGTGAGAGATGGCCACAGAACAGCTGAGAGTAATAATTTGTTAAATTTCTCCAACTAGCTGGAGACCTGTTTTGAAGAGAACTACTTTAGAAGCACTGCTCCCCTGGCACAGCATCAGAGACTTAATTGAGGTATCTGGGTCATTGTGAAGGGTTCTGTAAGGGCAGACCACCATGCTAGGAACTTACAGGATCTTACTGAGGGTCCTTGTTTCTACTACTTTTCAAGAAAAATCAAGGATTTGTTTTAACTGTGATAGCTTGGTGACACGTAGTATGTTCAAATTATCAATTCATTTGTGCTTTTTGCAGTTTTCCTCGCCCAGTGAAGAATACATGGTTGAACAGGAATGCACCAGCACAAAACAGGGACTCTGTGATTCCTTCTCTTGAAAGTGTGGTCTTTGGCAATAACTACACAAAACAGTTATCAGCAGACGTAAGAATATATCAGTTTAAGATTTTATTTGTATTCTGTTGGGAGGTGAGAATATTATTTTTTCTGCAGGAATATTACTTGATAAAGAATGAATTTTGTTGGAGTTACTTTGGGATGCCATGTGATAAGGGAAATGAGAAAAATTGTTCCAGAAGGCTGTGTTCCATGCTTCAGGAACATACAGGTGGAAAGCTTACAATATTAAGTGTTTAAACTTCTTTTTTAATGTCTTGCAATCCATTGAAAATCACAAAAATTACAAGTTTGTGAAAAGAGGCAATTGTTTATCTTTTTTAGTCATTCTCCTAACACTTCATTTATTGTACAAAATTAATGTGTGCCGTTTTTCTTTATTTTAGGGTTGCAGCTTTGTTGTTTCAGAATCTTTCCTCAGCCATGCTTATAATTTCCACTATACACTTTGTGCCAGTTTACTGCTTGCTTTCAAAGGGTTACACAGCTATTTCATTATGATAACAAAGGAGCTCCCCTCTTCTCACCGAATTGAACTGGGTATGTTCAGTTTAATAAAATGCATCACTTTCTCGTCAATGTTCATTAAGAATATACTCTTCTAGACTAAACTGTCACTGATCTCATACATCTGGTATATCTAAAATATTTTTGCTTGAAGAAAAAATAAAGTAGAAAGAAGTACTGTCACCTTACTAATAAAATAAGGAGATAAGAACCTAAGTCTATGCAAGTATATCTTTTCTTGTTGGTCTTGATTTGTGCAGTTATTTCAAATCACTATGTTTAGTGGTGAGAAAGTTAGAGCTCTTAATCCAAAGTAGCACACTGCACTTCTTTGTTTGTTATATGGAAACTTTGCATATTTGTACAAAAATTTGTAACTCTGTAAGCTTTTGATTTGAGAAGAATATTTTAATGGAAACTTACCTGAAAAAAGACCTACAAGAAAAAATTGCTGCTGGCTCAGTTTGTATTGTAACTTTTTAAACAGATTTAGGTACCACGAAGACTTTTAGTTAACCACATTTGATGAAAATAACTGCAAAAGCATTAAATGAAATGTATGGAAATGCACATGTACATTACATTTCTGTAGAATGCAGATACATTAGAGAGCCAACCCTCAATTTGTGAAGTAGAAGAGCAGTGCAAGTAAAAAAGAAAAATACATTGACATTGGAAAGAATGATTTAGACTTTTTTTTCAGCAAGCATATACCTTTTTTAGTCATGTTCTGACTTTTGGAATTTACATGTAGACAGCATTCATTGATTTTTGTATTGTTTAACTTTACCATTGTCAAAACTAAGCGTAGTGAAACAGTAAGGTTGGCAATTGAGATATGAAAGCTATTTTAAAAACGTATATGGTCAATTAATGATTCAAACAAAGAATGTTTCACTTGTGTATTACAAAATACAAAACTGTTTTTAGGGGAAGAAATTTTTTTGAGGGAGTATATCAGAAATCTGTAGAAAAATACTAGAAACTGAGGCTTTTCCTTTATGGAAGTAAAAGTACTGCAACATGCTGCAAAGAACATCTGTATCAGTTATCTTAATATGGAGGGAAGCACCTTATTAAAGGAATAACTCAGCTCTTAGTCTTCCTTTTAAGGTCCAAATGTGTTTTTTTCGAAATCATAGAACCATAGGATCGTTTAGGTTGGAAAAGGCCTCTAAAGATCATGGAGTCCAAGCATTAACCCGGCACCACCATGTTCACCACTAAACCATATCCCCAGGTGCCACATCCACATGCCTTTTGAACACCTCGAGGGATGGTGACTCCACCACTTCCCTGGGCAGCTTGTTCCAATGCCTGATCACCCTTTCAGTGAAGAAATTTTTCATAATATGCAATCTAAACCTCCCCTGGTACAGCTTGAGACCATTTCCTTTTGACCTGTCACTAGTTTCCTGGGAGAAGAGGCTGAGCCCCACCTGGATACAGCCTCCTTTCAGGTAGTTGCAGAGAGCAATAAGGTCTCCCCGGAGCCTCCTTTTCTCCCTGCTAAAGAACCTCAGCTTCCTTGCCCGCTCCTCATAGAACTTGTACTCCCTTCACCACCTCCACTGCCCTCCTGGACACACTCCATCAGCTCAGTAGAGTCTGATGGCACTATTGTTGTTGTAAGGATAGGCTTAGACTAAATCTTGATGCTTAAGTGTTTCAGACAGGACCTTCAATTCCCCTAAAACATTCCTTCACAATATATATAAATAATAGAAAAAAGCCAGCCACCAAGTTGCATACTTGGGTTGTATCTTTCATTAGCTTACCTTTGGGAATAAAAGTTTGAACAGAAATACTCAAAATAAATATCTGAATAGAATATTACAGCTTACATTTAACATTCATTGTTTGTGTTGTGCTGAGAGTTTGTTTCCTGTGGGTTTGATTTTTTATTTTTATTATGTCTCTGCTAGAATTACTTTGGTTTTTTGTATTTGTAAATATCTTTTTCATTTATTTCAGTTATTTTATATATATACTGATTGGGACAATTGATGTAATAAAAAGTACTAATAATGTAAATACTAATTCTTACTTTTTGCTCATGAAAAATAACTAATGCCTACCATTAACACTAATTCTTCTAAAATCTATCAATAGTAAAAAAAAAAAGCTGTGTTTCTGAAATGTCTGTAAAGAAATTGAAACTCACTGAACCTCACAAAGTACACAACTGTCATTCGCCATTTTTTTTAATTTTTAAATTAACTATTTTATAGTGGATATTTTATCTGTGAAGTTTAAATGGGCATTGCAGAAGACAATATCTAATCCTGTTTAAACTCCAGAATCATCACTTTTTTGTTTTAGATTAAATTATTATCTCTCTAATTTTGTTTCTTCTGTTTGCTTTGCTGTTGCTCTGTCATATAATTTTAACACAAGGAAGTGATTTTGCAAAAGCATGTGCAGACAACTGTTGGACTTGATAAGTGTAATTGAGCATTTAAGTATTACTTGTTTCAGGAAATGAAAAAATGCTACCTTAATGTGTATCACAAATGACACTCTAGAAACTACACTAAAATGGTATATTTTCATGTACTGGTCTAACTGCACTAATTGCTAGGCTAGCAATAAGCTCTTTTACTAACTTTAAGGCAAATAATAAATCACAGATGAAAACCAGAGTGTAGTAACTAGTCATGTGTGTGCAATCCCTGTAACTAGCCAAGGCCAGCATGCAGGTCCTTTATGAACGCCTTCTCAGAAGAAAATATCCACGAACCCAGAGAGACGCCTACCTAGGTATGTTTTCAAAGCAGGTGATATAACCCCTCAGATTTTTATTGATACTATAAAATATTATATTATTAATAATGATATAAAATATTACATTCTTTTATAGACAGGAACACTATTTCAGTATTCAGCCATTTTGAACATATGATAAACTGTGAAGTCTGCAGAATTGAGCTACTTACTGCTAGGCTGAATATAGATAATAAAATGAGACATTATTGCTGTTCTTTGGTTTAGCATTGTTCTTCTTTAAAATGACTGAAGAGTTCAGTCAGTCATCAACATTAAAAAATATTGCTAAAAATTGTAGTTTAATTTAATTCAACAGTCTTTTATTTATTTTTTTTTTATATAATTAAAGACTGATACCTTTTCTTTCTGAGAAATCTTTCACGTTGCTTCTAGTATCTCAAGATTTGATTCTTCCAGACACTACACAAGACATTATCAGAGCTTAGGGTGCATTTGTCCATATCTACATGGCCAGTTCTCCCTTTGGAGAGTGTCAGTATTGGCCTGATGCTGAACAAAGGATGACATGCTGTTTAAGCACAAGGAAGTTTCTGATGGGAAAAGGATATAATGGCATTTCAGTCTCATAGGAGGTCACCAGCTTAATCATCATCAGCTGCATTTTGGTTTTGTTGTAAAAAGAAAACAAAACTATTTTTTAGCAGAGTCAGCAAAATTCCATCAGATAGTTGCTGGGTGAACATTACATTTTAGTGCTTGAGTTCCTTTTGTCTTGTATTATCACAGTTCCTTTTTTTTTCTTAATATAACATTGTAGTTTGGGGTTTTCTGTAATGATTTTAGATTTCAGAGTTTTAAATCTTGTTCAACAAGCCTATTCTCAATTGAAGTGTGACAAACAAGATAAATAATCAGTATTGTGTCATAAATAAACCATTTAATTTTTCACTAATGACAAAATTTGGCCACACCAAAAGTAGTATCATATTTTAAGCTTTCACATATTTTCAGAATATTTGTCTTCAAGTGCTCTTTAGCAAATACAGGTATGTGTAGTTTCTTTCGACAGCTTTTGTAAATTTGTTTCTGAGAACTTCATGCATTCCTTCAATTTGCATATTTTCTCAGAACTTTGAGTTGTATGAGTTAATTTGTGTGGCATTAAGTTTAAACCTAAGTATGTTGGATGCAATTACTTGAAAATCCATGTAGACTTACAAATCTAGGTTGTATAATTCAAAGATAAGTTGAGTAAACACATCGTTGCTGATCTGTAAACCTGTGTTGATTATCTATAGCCTAAGCTTATTATTGTGGGTTTCAAGGAATGTTTTGTGGGTGTGTGTTTTCAAGAGAAATTGTAGTCTTTTTCCTTAATATTGTGTTTCAAAAATGAAAAAGAAGTATTTGTTACAGACCATTTTGGGGTTTATAAATTATTCCCTTGTTACTGGTACCTCAGATGTAGAAGGAAATTAAACTTAGTACAAAATTATTTTTTAATTTATCAGATTCCCTTAAGTCAACAGGAATGATAAACAAGGAAAAACATCTACATGAAGGAATAAATCTGTTTTCTTCATAAATGAGTCATTCAAGGTTCAGATGCAGTTTAAGCTGCCATACTGTGGAAGACAAATTTGCTCTTAACATTGAGATATTGAGAGAAAGATCAGTTAAAGAACAGTTTTATTTGACTAAAATATGATTCCTCAGACAATTAAAGAATTTTATTTTTATTCATGTATCTTGCAAATCAGATAAATAATATACCTGTAGAAAAATGATATTAGAATAAGGTTTCTCTGGAAAATCTGGTAGGAGAGGAATTGTATTACCTTGGTTGTGAATGATGACATTGCTGCTGAATAGCTGAGCAGCTCTAAATGAATAATCTGCAAAGTGTATCATCTAAATTACACTATTTTCAAATTTAATTTTTGAATGGAAAATTGGTATCCTTGACAGCGTATCATGATAAGTGATCTTGATAATTGCCAACTTTTTTTATTAACTGTGTTCTGTCCTCAGTCTCAGAAACTGCTATGAAAATGTTTTAGTGGGAGTTTACAGTTTACTTGACTGTGGCACTTACTATGACTTCAAGTTTTATTTGATGGGTTCTTTTTAATGTTTTAAAATTGTTTGGTGATATAATTGGTTTCACTTTGCAACTTGGAAAGTGCGTTACTCATAGATGTGTCCTCTCATCTTTCCAGAAAACATAGATGTAGAAGTTCGTCTGACAGAATTGTGTGAGGAAGTAAAGGTACAATTTTTTAATGTATTAAGTATGTGAAATAACTAGAAAAGTAGAGGGTGGTGATTTCATATGCTTGGGAATAAACTGTTTCAGAGATAACAGCAAACACTTATTTAAATTCTTCCCCCAAAGAGAAACTGCTCAACTGACACCAAAACTTAACTGACTTAGTGTGTCAGTAGTAGCCATGGTAACTTCTGCATATCATGCAAATGTAGGTTATAGAAAGGTGGATTACTTGTAAGAAAATCACATTTTGAACTGTCTACATTTAGAATTTGAATTCTTTGGGTTTGATGGTATCAGATAACAGTGTTACAAGATCAAGCAGTAGTAGTAGTAGATTGTACAAAAGCAGATTCTGCAAATGATCCCCTCATCCGGAAGGACTTGTTCTGTTATTGTCTCTTTTTCCTGTTTTCTCAACATTCTCAAGGATACACTGTACTTCAGATGACTTAGATTTGTCTCCCCAACTCTTTCCATAGTCAGAACTAGCCCCAGTTGAATAGCTAATTTCCTTGTCACAACGAAGTTTAAAATAACAGGTTTTAAAACTTTTTCAAAAGATTATCCCTGCTTTGCTGCTGAGTGGTCCATCTGCCCGGCTTTGGAAGAGCAGTGGGCTTACCTTTTGTTACAGTAGCAGTAGAATAACTGCAAGAAAATGTAATACTGCCTTTAAAAGGATGTAATTTGTATAATTGGACACAAAGCCAGCGCTGTTCTCTCTCTATGGGCAACTAATAACCTTACTCTGTGTATTAAAATATTTTTTACATTTACATAGCTTCCCTGAATTCTTTAATTTCTCCCTTAGCTTGCGAAAGTATGTTTATGTTTTTTCTGTTATCTCTTTTCTGTTCTTTTGTGTGGTTCACATCAAAAGTTTCTCTTATTTCTACTCTCACTTGTTAAGTTGGTATTTTAATATTTTCAGTCCTTTTTTCTACTTGCTTTTTAATATTGCTTGAGTTGGGTCTTTACTATCTTTTCTTTTTAAATCTTTTGCCTCAGTGCCTTATGTGCCTGCAATGAATTTCTGAAAAACTGTATTTTTTTCTAAAATGGCAGGGAACATAAGCCTAGCAGTGTACAATTGACTGGTGTGGGACCATGTCACAGGATTACAGTACGTTGTTAAGAAAGAAAAACTTGTTTCACACTGAATTTGTCTTGGTGTGCTCTGATTCTAGGAAGCCTGTGCTATAACACTGCTTCCTGACTATGCTTAAAGTGTACATAGGTATATAGCATCTTACAAAGGTTATTGTGAGTTGTGACTGTTCTAAAATGGAGGTGTCTTTATTAAATTTTTACTTTGATAAAAAAGTTGGACGAACATAGCAAGTATTGATTTTTGGTTTCCTGATTCCTGTTCCTTTCAGGCACACTGTATGTTAGAAAACTGCTTGTTAGAAAATACAGCAGTTGAACTCAGTTATCTTTGCCATAAATGGAATTGTTGCTTTAATTTATGGTCAGGAGTCCTAATTCTAAAAGGCAACTGGATAATATTTAATACAACATAAAATAATCTGTTATTGTTGTAACATGAATTGATTCAGTTCTGATACTTAGTCAAAACAGTTCTCATTTGGAAGTTGGTTTTAAGTGAAAATTCTCACTAATATAAAGGACACTTCTTTTTTCTTAATTCTTGTCTGTACATTATGGTTTTATCAGTGAATCATGTAACTATTTTTTTCTGACTTCAGAAAATGGAAAATCCTGATGAACTGGCAGAACTTATAAATATGAATCTTGCTCAGCTTTGCTCACTTCTGATGGCTCTCTGGGGGCAATTTCTGGAGGTCATTACCTTACAAGAGGAGGTCACAGCTTTACTAGCACAAGAGCATCACACGTTAAGAGTAAGTATTGGCATGTTCATAGGCTACTAGGACACATTGTTACAGAAATGCGTATCAAAATGAGACTCTAGATTATAATTTTTCTAGTTATAGTTGTAAAAGTTGGTTGGAATCATAAAGGGAGCTGTTGTATTGCATTTGTTACCTTGTGTATAATTATAATATTCTTAGAATATAATACCTAAAATATATTTATGTTTATGAACCAACTAATTCACTGTTCTTTTGAATAAGAAATGCAGTTCAGAAGGCAGATTGCATTCTGTAGAATAAGTAACGTTTGTGCAAACTGTTGTATTTTTCTGTGGGAGCCGTGCCTAGTGCCCACCCTGCATTTTACTTCTCTGCTGCCTTTAGGCTGCCTGCTTGCATCATAAAACAAAATGCATTTCCTTCTGAACTAAGAATTTATAAGAAAAGTCTGTTAAGTTGGATTTTAGAAAAGAAGAGGTGTGCATGGTCTGGCATGTGAGTACGTATCTATATATATATAAAACCATCTATAGTGAGTGCATGTGCACACAGTTGGTCTGTGTGTGTGTGTGTGTGTGCACAGTTGCTGTGGGCTCTCTGCACACAAAACCGCTGCAGTGCTGGTTCCCGTAGTGAAATATATTCAAGTATGAACTAAAGCATTACTCTTACTTGATAAACCACATTGTTTAATGAGGGAGTCATGGTTGTGGAAATGGCCTATTCTGGAGAGTAAATGGAACCTTTCAGAAAAAATGCAAGGCTTATTTGTTAGACGTGCTACCCATAGGAAAGTGATCATTTTACTGTCTATGAATCTTACGTACCTTTCTGTACATTTCCTATAAATTCTGAAATCCTTCAAATTAACTGGTGGAAGGTATGAAACAAGAAAACTGTTTCACTTAATCTGCACTTGCATTAAGCTGCTTATGTATTACTGTTTGTAGGAGTTTATAATTAATAAAACAAAAGGAAGAATGAATATTTTAATTTTTACTGCTCCAGAAAAGATACTGCTAATGATTATGTATTCAGCTTCTTATATGTGGTTCTTTTTAAAATCTGTGATGTAAGTCATCTTCCCTAACTCATAAATACCTTAATTATTGAATTTTACTGCAATTATTGTAGGGAGTATAAATTAAAGTATTTAATTATACTGTGTGAACTGGGATATTGCACATATTAAAAGTATTTCTGTGATGCTTTCCAGTTTGCAAAAAATTTGAATAGGAGTTCCCTTCCTCCCTTTTTTTAAAAAAAAAATTATAATTTGATTTCATGACTTATGAAATGGTTGCATGACCTATGTCCTTTTGAGTTGCTGTTACTTCTTTTGTTATCTGTCACTATACTTTTATGGATACGTTATGATTCTCCTGAGAATTTATATTCTGAGAGTTTGTATAACCTTACTTCGGGAAATGTACAATGATCATGTTTCACTAGAGCCCTTATCTGCACATTCCAAATGATGCAGGTTTTATGGGTACTGAATTTAGTTGAGATTGGAAAGATGACCTACTAGTTCTTCTCTTGAGAGATTCTATGTTCATATTTAGAATCATAGAGTTTTTAAAGTTGGAAAATATGTTTAAGGTCATCAGGTCCAACTGTCAACCCAGCACCACCATGTTCACCAGTAAACTATGTTGCCAAGTGCCACATCCACACATTTTTTGAACACTTCCAGGGATGGTGATTCCACCACTTCTCTGGGCAGTCTGTTCTAATGCTTTACAACCCCTTCTGTGAAAAAAAATTTCCTATTATCCAGTCTAAACCTCCCCTGGTGCAACTTAAGGCCATTTGCAGAAGAAAGTGACTCCCAGTTTGCTACAACCTTCTTTCAAGTAGTTGCAGAGAGCGATAAGGTCTCCTCTGAGCCTTTTCTCCAGGCTAAAGATGACCTAATACTTCTCATCTTAAGAGTCTTATCTGTCCTTTTGGTAGTAAAGTTTTGTTGTATACAAAATTCTGTTCCTCTGATTAAACCTTTTTATTTTGGAAACAGATAATCTGATGTGTTCGCTACTGGATGCTAAATCTCATTTTATTTTATCTTTTCTTCTTCCAATATTTCCAGACTGTACTTCCACAGGAAATTTCTCCCTGGGAAAGTTTTTATTTTTAATCTAAGATGAATGAACCCTTTTAGAGAGTGATTAATCTGACTGGTTTTGTGTTATTTGTGGTATTTTTTGTTATTTTGTGGTGGTGGTGTTAAAATACCCCCTGGAAATACCTGCCACCTGTATTTGGTCAAATGGCTTTCACCCTCTTTGCGTACAAGCTTCTAAAACACGTATTTCTGCTTAAGTGTTGTTTAAGTATTTAAATTATTATTTTAATAATTTTACTCATGTTTACTTAAATGTTTTAATGTTTAACTATTTTCAAATACTTGGAATAGTAAGCACTACATTAAAAAGTCAGGAACACTTTTGGTATACTAGAACTGTCAACTACATTATCATGCTGATAAGGTTTACAACTGTGTTTTATTGAAAAAACTGCCCAGAGTATGTTACTTTATATTACCAAATGTTTGAACACTAAAGTGGTTCATCTCTGTTCCCTAGTGACATCTTCTGGTAGGTCTAAACGTACTCTTCCAGAATTATTTCTTTCAGTTTCACTAGTCCTAAAATAGGAGAAAAACTAAGATTTCTGACTGCTAGTAATAAATGTCTGGAGACACAATGTGTATTCCACAGCAGTTTTTATATAAAAGTCTTCTGGTTACATTGGGAGGACCTTAAAAACCATACTTTTGGTCTCCATATAACTCCGGTTACTTTATGTGGTAAAGTGCTCACATCTAAACTCAAAACTACCTTGCTTACTTCCTGGGAAACAGCTGTGTGCTCTTTTCATAACATATACCACAGAAATCTACTAATTTGGCAATGTTCCTGTAACTATTACCTGACTGGTTAGGATCTTAAATTCATTTTTAAATTGCTTAGTTTAGAATAATAACGTCCACCCTTCACGATCAATTATTCTAAAATTTAGGATTTATGCTGTAAAATTATCTATTAAGTCTATTGTGTAAGTCTTCTCCCTTTCTGGGGGAAGGATTGAGGATTAGCTCTGACAAAATCATGTATTTGCAATGTAAATGTCTATTTAGAAAAGCCAGCTGGGAAAACACAGTAGAATACTTAGGAACACCAGTTCTAATCCCACATGTGTACGCATAAACTCCTAACAACAAATTCTGAAGAAAAGCAGATTGAGTTCCTTGTCACTGCTGAGAGTGGAAGTTGCATTTACCAGGAAGTATCGAATTTAGTGTTTTCTTTTTACTTCAAAACATTTTCCATGACTATTTAGAGGTGATATTATGACTGAGTTTAATTTCATGTAATACAGCTAAATAAATTCTGGGAGGTTGGGAGAGGACTTTTCAGCTTCTAGAGCAGGTTGGAGATTGGGGGTTTAATGTTTGTGGTTTGGGGTTGGGTTTTTTCTTAAGCACCTTGGAACAATTTTTTTTCTCAGATTTTCTTGTGTTAAGAAAACAAAAAAAGGAAGGTGTAGAAGCTGCAGAATATAAACTTCATGCAAACAGTACTCTCTGAAAGTATGCTGGGCAGTGTATCAGGAGAGAAAATGAACTCCCCTGCAAGTGCTTGTCTCTGACCAAAGTTGATGTGGTCCTGAATGCCTGATGTTTGCCAGTTAATGCACAAGGTTTTCCTAGTGCCATGTTTGTGCTCAGGGTGGATGCGGATGCTGGCCACAGCTCTGAGTGAAAGTGCTGAGAGAATTAAACTAGGCCTGATGCTTCACCATATACACTGAAAACTCCCACAGTCTGGGAAATTCCGTAACTTAAAGAGGAAAACACAGAGTATATTGAAGATATAAAGGGATAGGAGGCCAGGAAGTGGTTGGTAAATAAATTATTTTTTCAGTAGACTAACATATGTGATTCTCTAAGTGGGCTAGAAATTTTTTTTTAATTGATACAAGCAAATGGATGTTAATGCACAAGCAGTTGCCAACAACCACTGCATAGCACATTCTCTTTGATTTGCTTTTTTTTGATGCACGTGATTGGGCAGTTGCAAAAATAAAATGCATATAGAATGAATTAGTATTTATATAAAATACTGGAAATGTGAGAAGTCTGATTTTGCAAAACCTTAACTTTGAGATTTCTAGATACTGCATTTTTAGTACACTGATTGTGGTTTTATTTGTAGTAAGTTGCTGTACAATTCACACTCTATTTTAACACTACATATTGGATGGTGAAAAAATATGCTCCTCTATGTTATTAGTAGTACTCTTTAAATATTGTATTGTTTACTGACCTCAGCCAATTAAGTCTTGAATACAGTGCTTATAATTAACATACATTCTGTTACTGTCTTCATCACTTGCAGATGAAATATTTACCAACAAAAGATTTTTTTGCTCGGTAGTTTACTGTGGGCTAGAGACTATTTGTGGAAAGTTTGAAACACTTCTCTGTATTTTGAAACTGCAGAATATCTAATAGGTTTCTACTTCTGAAGGTAATCCTCAGGTTCATTCAGAAGCGTCCATCAAACAGTCATTTCCTTTCTTCTCATTGGAATATCTCACAATATTTTTGTGTGGTTTTGTTTCAGGTGAGCCTGATTTGGATGATTGATTGATTGGCAATCAAGTTTTCAGCAGGCAGTTAAATCTAATGTAATTCCAAGTTATCCAGTGCACAAATTAAAATTCTTGTTTCAGTCTTTAGTCTTGTCTGTGGCATCATCTTCCCTCCCACACAGATAGAATGCTTCAAAAAAAAAGGGAACTGTCTATATTATACATACAAATGAATAACACTGATGTGCAGGAATGCTGGTGGATTTTTTTAAATTATATGTAATGTAAAATAAGCTCTAACTTCATTTGGATCTTGCAGGTGCGCAGATTTGCAGAAGCATTCTTTTGTTTTGAGCATCCTAGGCAAGCTGCTCTTGCCTATCAAGAACTACAGTGAGTAGCCTTTGGAAGTGCACAGTATGTAGATGTAGAATTGTTATCCTGTAGCTTTTGTTGAGTAGAATGTGTCTTGCAGAAATACATAAATTGAAGAGAAACTTACGTTCTCACTACAGATTTAAAGTAATGAAAGTTATATAAGAAGTTATTAAATATTAACGTTATTAATAGCTAATTAGTAGAAAAGTTTCTATTAAAGTAAATTAAACTGTTGCTAATTTCTGTCAGTGTAAAAATAAAAGAGTTCTGTTTTTTTCATGGAGGACTATTTCCTTTTTTTCAGTGCTCAAAGTCATCTACAGATGTGTGCAGCTATCAAAAATACTTCCTTCTGCAGTTCTCTTCCACCTCTCCCTATTGAATGCAGTGAACTAGATGGGGATATGAACTCTTTGCCTATTATCTTTGAAGATCGATATTTAGATTCAATTACTGAAGGTAAACACACCTCACAGTAGTTTCCTTTTTGAAGAAATAAGCAAAAATTATGTAACACCTGAGTATTTTTCTTTAAAGGAGTAATGGCTTTAAAGGAGTAATTTATTTGCTTGGATATGGCTTTTTAGCTTGAGTTTAGAGGATGTGTAACATTCTATAATTGCTAGTGTTTTATAGCATCAGTTATCTGCATAATATTGATAAACAATCCTTTTCTCTCTTTGTTTTCCCCACACACACACTTTTTTGGTGAAAGATCTGGATGTACCCTGGTTGGTAGTTCAGAGTCTTCCAAGGGCAGAGTCCAATAAACTGGATAAATTTGAAGCTGAAGAAGGTTTTGTTGCTGGTTTTACTAGCCCAGAACTGAAAATAAGACCTGCCGGTGCCTCCATCTTTTGGCATTCAGAAACTGAAAAGATGCTAACAAAAGCTTTGAAAGGGAAAAATGAAGATGCAAATAAATCCAAAGTTAAGGTTACTAAGCTCATGAAAACAATGAAACCTGAGAACACAAAAAAAGTCATAAAACAGAACTCAAAGGACTCTGTGGTCTTAGTAGGCTACAAATGTTTGAAAAGTGCAGCGCTGGAAGATGTCTCTAGAAGCTCAGAAGGCAAGCCTTCATACAATGCTAACGAAGGGCTGGACCCTACATTAGGTGGATTTCCTTGTGATACAAAGACCTGCACCAGGCAGATAAATCAAAGAGAACTTCCATTTTTACCATCTGGAACTGAGGAAAAGGCTGCCAAGATTGAAGGTGACCAACCGGGTCCAAGTAGTCCTGTGCACTGTGAAAATGAAGCTATTTTTGATAGACTGACTATCTCCCAGACAGGTTCTGGAACTGCTCAAGCAGATAGTGCTTTACAGCAGAGAGGTACACTTGAAGGTTGTCATGGAGGTCAACCAGCTTCCTCAGGAGTCAGGACAATCGAGGTCAAACCAAGTAATAAGAATCCTTATGAAGGGGGGAAAGTAGTGGTTCACATTGGATCGTGGGCTGAGTTTCCACAAAGTGGAGTGCACGGAGAGAATTTGCAGACACTCAGTTTTCATCCTTCAGAATCTGGAAATAAATTTAATTCAGGAGAACAGGAGCCAGTCCTTGAAAAGGAAGATGCTCATGAGAGAAACTGTCATCATACCAGTGACATCTTAACAAAAATGAAAAATAATCCGCCTACTCTTTCTACGAAAGAAAGTCAACTTTCTGCAAGTGGAGACATGACTAAATTACCAGATGTTAGTGTGACATGTGCCTCTTCTAGGTTTTCAGATTCAGGTGTAGAAAGTGAACCAAGTTCTTTTGCAACTCACCCCAACCCTGATCATGTTTTTGAAAATATTCAAGGGCAAAGCACATACAATGGTGAGAGAGTATTTCCTCAGCCTTTACTAAAAGCGGACTGTGCTGTAAAATATGCAGTAGAAAGCCATTGCACTGAGAGTACGAGTGCTGTAAGTGAAATACAGTCATCCCTGACGTCCATAAATTCACTGCCTTCAGATGATGATGAGCTGTCACCTGATGAGAATTCAAAGATATCTGTTGTACCTGAATGCCAGCTAAGTGACAGCAGAACGGTATTGGATCTAGGAGCAATTGACTTGACAAAATGTGATGACAGTAAAACATCAAATCAACAGTGTGTTGTATTTTCAGGGCACTTGGATAACAAAACTCTGTCTATACATTCCTCGCTCTCAGGAACAAAAGATCAATTACAGTTAGACGCGTCCTCATCTGAAACAACTACTGATGTGAAAAATTATAGCCCACAGGCAGACCCTGGCACAACCTGCAAGGATTCTCAGGACCTTGAAAGGCATCCTGATGCTGCAGAAGAAGCAGTTAAATTGCATTTGGAAATTACTTGTATGGGTGAGCCATCTATTGTTTCAGGTTCTTCATCTGTAAATGCAGTGTATGAGGTTGAAAACACAAATGAAGGAAAACATAACAAGCCTTTAGAACTAAAGGAGACAACTGAAGAACCGTCAATAGCTAAAAGTGAAACTGGTACAGATAATCCTTCTCCAACCGGTAGTGCTGACATGGTAAAACAAGGGCTTGTCGAAAACTATTTTGGCTCTCGAAGCAGCACAGATATTTCAGATATTTGGCCTGTGGACAACAGCAATCCTGTTAGCCCTCAAAAGGAGGCACATGAAAAACAAATTATTTGTTCTTCCCAACAAGACGAGGAAGAAGAGGAGGATCAAGAAATGATTGAAAATGGGTATTATGAAGAAACAGACTATAGTATATTAGATGGAGCTTCCAGTGCTGACCAGGATCATGGCTTAGCAGAAGAGAGAGCTCTGAGATCTGAAAGGATTGATAGTGGACACCTGCAAGATGTAATGACTGTGCCTCCTGTCTGTACTCCTGGTTGTCTGTCTTTTCCATCTTCTCTGAGAGACTCTCCTTGCAATGTTATCTGTTCTTCAAAGAATAAATCTGATGCAATTACACAACAGCCAGGCAGCACATCCTACAGCTCAGCATCAGCTGTTTCCTGGTATGAAAGCTCCCCAAAACCTCAAGTCTTAGCGTAAGTGATTGCTTTAAAACAAATTTTTTTACTTTTAGAAATTAAGTTAGTATAGTATAGAAGGGGAAAAAAAGCATGGTTGGGCTGTGGGGTGTCCCCAGGACTGTGCCTTGGGTTCTGCATGCTCAGGTAACAGCGTGTTTTAGATGTTCACTTAACAGTGTGCTGGCACTGAATTCCTTCTGTCAGTTATCTTGTAATTTCATGTGCTTTGGCAAACTTCAAGCAGAATACGAATTTTTTTGTTTCTCTAATATGTTACTTTAAAAAAAAATAGTTCAGCTGAAAAGTCACGTTGTAATGGATACTGAGCATAAAAATAGTGTTTAATGAAATGGAAACTGTTAAAATAGCAAGCTTGGGAAAATATGCTTTTTGTTTAAAAACAAACCCAAAAACATTCTGTAACTGGTTGTCCATCTGATTAGTTAAGTGAAGCATGTGCAGTGCAAACCATGGTGATGGCTGTATTTTTAAATCTTAACTTCAAATATCAAAAATGTAACACCTTGGAGATCACAGTTACACTGCAGTTCAGATACCAGGAAAGCCAAATTTAGAGGAACATCAGAGATCCCAGGGATCCTCTTGCTGTAAACATAGGAGTTTCCCTGATAACCCCCACCTGCTAACTGAACGTGGGAAGCAGCAGCTAATGTGTTGTAATGGAAATAAAATGTTGCTGTCAGAGAAAAGAAAATTTAGAAGACAGGTAGAAACAAGGAGAATGCTTTGGAGGCAGAAAAGACCAGATAGTTTGTGAAAAGCAGCTGAGAACAGAAGGAAGTGTTGTGCGGTCAGTGGTCAAGGAAAACAGGTTCAAAGTGGAAAAGTAGCTTCTGAAATAGTGGAGAGTGTGGACTGGTGTGGACCGGGAGAGATGAAAAGCAGAGACTACTCAGGTTGTTCCGTAACAATAAAAGAGTGAATTCAGAATAAAATCAAGGACTTGGCCTTGGGAAAAAGCAGTGTCTTCTGGAGCATGAGATAACTGTGAATCCAGAAGGCATGATCTGCTCTATAGAGAACCAGCCTTGGTTTGTTCAGAAAATGTGCCTTATGAACTCAGGCAACTTCTGCTGCAGTGTTAAGACCGGCTGCCAGCAGTGGTTTCTGTTTAGGCTGACTTCATTAAGGCCCACGCCTGCCAGTTAGTGAGGAATGAGCTAAAGATAAAGCTGGGAAAACAGAGGACAGAAAGTAGAATGGGAGGGAAACATCAGGCAAAACAGGATAGGATACAGCATGACACTGTGAGGGATTGTGCAGAACAGAAGGATTAAGGAGGGAAAGAAGCATAGGAAAGCATAAAGCTTGAAGGGCTGCAGGAAACCGATACACAATTAATTAGGTAGGAAGGTCATACACAAAATACAAAGAGAAAGGGAAGAAAGGGAGGAACACAAGGAGCTCCCAGCACATGGGGAGCTCGGCTGTTAAAAACCTTCTAGTTTTTGCCTTCATATAATATGTAAAAGATCAGAAATCTGGATCTGGCTGCTTCTGAAGCAACTATCAGCTATTCAGCCTACCAGAGGGACCTTATGGTCAGTGATTACAGAACTGAATCCAGATCTCTGTTTACCTAGGAAATAAGTTTGGCAAGAATTATCAAAAGTCAGTGGAAATCTTTACCTTGACTTCTGATTGGTTATAATTCCTGTAATTTTGTTACTGCATGTAAACAAAACTGTTGCTTGGTCAAGACCAGAACTAACCCAGAGTCTTCAGTGGTTTCAGAAATACTTTGGAGTTTGCAGAGATGTTCAAAGGAGAGAAGAGAGTAGAGCTTGAGATACAATTTCTCTTGCAGAGGAAAAGGGGCTGTAGGAATCGGCAATAAAAAATGTTTTGAGGAAATAGCTTGTTTTCTGAAGGTAGTAATTTGATAAATATATTTTCCTTTGTATCAATTACATAGAATACATAGCAAAAAGGCAGTAGAAGACAGTTTCATAGAAGACCCCACATTTGTCTAGCAATAGTAAAAGTTATTTTATCATAAATATGGTTTTGTTCCAGTTTCCTACAGGCCAAAGAAGAATTGAGGCAACTTAAACTTCCTGGATTTATGTATAGTGATGTTTTCAAACTGGCTTCTTCGGTACCATATTTCAGCATGGAAGAGGATGATTGTTCAGAAGAAGGAATACATCTTATAGTCTGTGTCCATGGCCTAGATGGTATGCTGGGAAATGTGATACTGAATGAGATAGTAGTTCATATTACCAGTGAGGTTTAGCTTGTGTCATTCAAACTCTGAACTGAACCCTTCTGAAATAGGTTCACTGGAGGGAAATGGGAATCTGACATTCAACTGCTATATTTGACAGTGTGTTCCATAAAATCTTTTAAATTAAGAATTCTCTGCAATATTTGTCTTTAGTAAAACTTCCATGCATATAAAACTATTTTATGCCATAGTTCACATTAAGTGCATCTTTTATGTCATAAAAGCATTTATCCATGTTGTGGTAATAGAATGGAGTTACTGACAGAACTGTTTTTAGAATTGTCAGTTGTCAAGGAAAACAAAATAAGTGTATCTTGTTAGGAAAGAGAATAGTACAATAGTAAAATGCAGTCAAGTGTCTGTAAGGTTTCGAAAGATTAGGTCACTGAATCACAGAGTGGTTGATGCTGAAAGGGATCTCTGTAGGTTGTCTAGTCCAACTCCCTGCTCAAAGCAGGGTCACCTACAACAGGTTGCCCAGGACCCAGCCCAGTTGGGCTTTTGAATATTTCCAAAGACAGAGACTCTATTGTGGTAGAAATGAGAAAATCTCTTGCTAATTGAAAGGGTTGGAAAGTTCAAATAGCTTGAATATATTCACCTGCTTTTAGTTCAAAGTGTACATGCATGTTAAGAAATAATATCCCCTCTAGTTAAGGTATTTCTGCCATCAGTGTTTTTATGGGTTTTTGAGATGATGCTTAAATTAGCAATGTAACAAAACACAAGAGGGCAGTAGAATAGAGTATTGGACTGGACTGACACTGCAGAGGCACCTTTTTCATTTTTCAAATTCCTAAGTTTAAAAAAATAAAATAGCAGCATAATTTTTCTCCTTTGGGCAGAAAGCAGCCTTTGCTAAGCACTTTTAAAAAAGGACTCAGAAGTATTCCTTCTTACTAGCATAGATATTCAAGTGCTGTTGTGAGCCTAGAATTGGCACAAAAGTTAATTTGACCAAAAAGCCCGTTGTTGAAAAAAAAATATGTTTGAAGCCTTAAAAAAAAGTCCGTATAGTTGGAATTTTCTTATGAAATGGTGAGTTCATAGAATTTCCTGTAAGTGTAGGGTTTGTAACCCTCCCTGGGAGGGAAACAGAACTAGGACAGGTCACCTAATGTATATTTCACCAATAAGGTATTCCATACCATGTTACATCAGCCCAGACATAAAGAGACGAAAAGGAAACAACTCCTTCCTTCTCTTCCGGGACAGTTGCATGGGATAGACAGCTGTTTTTTGGAGAAGGAAAACACCTTTTGTGGGGAAGTAGTCTTTATTGTCAGTCTTCCCTGTGTGCATAGTGCTTATAGTTCTCTTTCTCTTGTGTAAATATAAAACTGCCTTCTCAGCAGTCTCGGTTTTGCAAGTTTTTTTCTTTCCCCCTCTTCCTTCCTTCCTTTTCCCTCTGGAGGGGGGTAGTTGGGCAGAGTCTCAGTGAACACTGGGCATTCAGCCGAGGTAAACGATAACAATAAGTGACATATTTAAATAAAAAACTTGTTTTCTCTTTAAGGCAGAAAAGGTACTCTTTCTTCAAAAGCATCCATGATTATTGACATAGAAAAGTCTTCAGGATGCTAGTTAAACTAGCATTTGTTGTCTTGGGTACTAGTCTAAAAGTATCTTTATCTGCTGACAGTCCAATCTGCCTTTTTATTCTATGAAAATGCTCCTTCACTGAATTCTTTAGGCTAGCTTTGGGTCCTTTAATTGACTTTTATCAAAATTAATTAGATTTCCAAGAATGGAATGTTCACAGTGCTACATATCTGTTGGATGCTAAGACAAAATCAAACATGACTTCCTACATCCTTGCTTTTTTAAGAGTGAATGCCATTGAATGCCATTGAATGGCATTTTTATAGACTGTTCTGTCACTAATTTGACATTGCGGTTTATCCTGTGAAGTCTTAATGAATTTTAATTAGGGCTGAGAATATAATTAGCTGTGTTTAAATATAAATTTGTACCGTAGATTCATTTCAGTATTCTGGGTGCTTTTATTGCAAGTTAACTTCGGAGGATCTAACTTTTGATTCTTTTTTCTTTTAAGGTAACAGTGCAGATCTAAGATTAGTGAAGACTTACATTGAGCTAGGCCTGCCTGGAGGAAGAATCGATTTTCTTATGTCTGAAAGGAATCAGGTATTTGCCAACTAAAAAAGAATTTTTGTAAAGCGATAAACAGCATACACCTTCAGACATGGCACTGTTGTGTTACAGTGTACCACATTTTATGTATTTTGATTGTATTCATGGAATCCATGATTTGATCTGTGGCTTACCTCAAAGTAATTACAAACCCTTGTATGTTATTGAACGTAAATATTTAAGGGTTGCTGCCGTTTTGTTGTGTGTACTGTGTTTCTTGAGTTCTCAGTGTAAACTATTTGGATTGTGGGTAAAATGTGCTCAGTATTAATGGTAAAGATAGTGATAGTGAAAACTGGTGTAATAAGAAGGGAGATGTGTTATTTCAGAGGATGTGATAAATAAAAAAGTAGCTCTCTCTTGTTCTTTCATCAGTGAACTGTGAGATCCACATCATAACACTGAACCAATATCAAACTGCCTCTTGTGTTAACTTTTTGGGAATTTTATTATTTTCAGGTGAAGTAAACTTGACAAAGCACAGAAGACCAATTTTTACTTTTTGTTTGTGTGTGTGTGTTATATTGTATTAGATGTACTTCAGGAATGAATTAGAACAAAGTCTCTTCAATGGCTCAAACAAAAGGTTCAATCAGTGCAGTAACATTTTTCTGGCGGCAGCTCCTGGGATGCTTTGTGACATGTGCCAAGCCATGCTTTCTCTTCTCTAGCCCTATAGGTTTTGTCAGTCAGCAGTTGTGAGACCTTCTGATTTGTGAGCTCCACTGAGACCATTGAGCCTAGTAACCTCTGACAGACTTTTCTCCTTAATGTTAGCTGACTCTTTTTGAATGTTTTTACTTCCAGTTTCCACAGCATACAGTTGAGATTAATTCTGTGGTTCATATACATTAGTAATTCAGTTGCAAAAAAAGAAATTGAAATAATTTCCTCTACAGCTTGTTTTGGAAAAAATACTCAATAATCATTCCTCATTCTCTGCTTTAGTTAATCAGGTATTTTATAAACAAGTATAATTTCTCACTCAGGAGGAAACTGAAGGGACTTAGCCCATTCAGTATTTCTTAGAATCAGATGTGAAACGGTTTCTGTTCATCCATGATATCCTTCTCTGCCTGCTTGAAAGGTCTTGTCATTTAAAATTGGATGATCAGAACTAGAAAGGGCATTTAAGATGGTTGTGCACTATGGACTGACAAAATGCTATACTGATATTTTCTTTCCTTGCTTTCCTAACGTGGCTGATTATATGCAACACAGATTATTGTTTGCATATACAGTTAGGGCTGGTTTTCCCTGTGTAACATTGGTTTGTATTCCTCACCATTTTATCATCCAGGTATCCAGTACAATAAGATTCTTCTGAAATTCTGGTTGGTTCTGGATTTGATTATTCTGGATATTTGGGTTTGTTTACAAACTGACATCTCACCTCCATCTTCCCTTTCCCAGATCATTTACCAATATGTTGAACACAAAAGATTTTAGCACAGATCCTTTGGAACTTCTGTTGAAAAGTTTTAGGTAGCCTTTGCCTATATCTTTTAATTCCTTACTGCTAATCATTGTGGAGAATCAGCTGTGAATGGGGGATAAGGCTATAAGGACTTTGTTTATTTTTTCATTTTGAATAAACAGTGCTAATGTAGACTCTTTCTGCTGTTGCCATAATTGTCTCACTTCTGTTTCATGGGCAGTGTGATTTAGTTCTGAATACGCAGCTTGGTCTTCTGTCTCACTACAGATAATCTTACATGTAGAGGAAGGCTTAGAAGTCAGGCTGGCTGTGAGTTAATGTTAAGATTTGTTTGGATAGTCTTACAGTAAAATGTGTATCACTATCATGTTAAAAGAAGACGACTTGAAAAAGTTATAACTAGCTGTAGAGTTTGTATTCAGAGTTAATATGGATGTTTTTATTTGTGTGCTGTTGATTAAAACACTGGGGTATAAGAATTCAGACTGAATGCAGAATGTATATTGCTGCATTAGAAAATACAGTTATTATTTTTTATTTCTTTTATTTTACAGAATGATACCTTTGCTGATTTTGATTCCATGACAGATCGTCTTTTAGATGAAATTATACAGTATATACAAATTTATAATCTAACTCTTTCAAAAATCAGGTAATATCTGTTCTATACTATTTATAGAAATAAACTTAAAACTAGAGCCCTGGGTTGTTCTGAACTGTGATGCTCAGGAGCAGGCCATAAGAGAGTTGGGAAAAAAAAATTGGGATGGGGGAGGAGTAGGGGAAAAAAGGAGGACAGTGGAGAGAGAGGGAATTCTGAGCTGAAAGAAGACTGAACAATGTTGTAAGCTCACCTAGTCCTGTTGGTAGTTTTAGGTCAGAGTTAAGCATTACATTTAAGGAATTGCTGTCCTGTGTTTCTACAGATCCTGCATGATAGGGTTCTGCAGAGAAACAGATAATATTTTGAGAAAGTTGAAGGAAACTGTAATAGCATTATGCCAGCTTCCTTCTGATTTTATAATCTCTTCACCAAGTATGACATAGCAGACTGTTTGTCTTGTCATTCTTACAGGGTAATTTCATCTTGTGACATTTAAGGGCAGCTGCATGAAAATATATTTCATCATTTTTTGTTTTCTGATTATTTCATCTGCTAAAGAGCATGTTTTACATCTTATTAGAAGACTCACCACAGTCTATGCGCTCCTATTTTGTTTTTCATTTACTTCCAGGGAATGTCCATTTATTTACTCAAAATAGGGTGCACATTTGGGCAGACTACCTTTTTAACTCAGCTGTGTTGCTGGAATTAGTTCATCGATAGATGAAAGGAGCTAATTCAAGCCTGACTTCATCCATTTGTTTAGACACCCTCAAATTACGCATCTGGAAGGTATTTTGGCTTGCTAGTCACATACATTTGCTACAAGACGTGTTTGGTAGGCCTTACTCAGCTGGAGAAAACATACTTGAACATAATCTCACTGTTTAAACAAATTTTTCTGCCTTAAAATAGGCAAGATTTGACATGGTTAACTTTGTCTTAACTGTTGATCTAAAACTTAACAAAGCACTCTGAGCATACTTGTGTTACACAGACTACACACTAGCACTCTTGGTACAGGATAGTTCTGTAAGCCACCAGCACACACCAGTGCCTTCTCTCCCGTGGCGTGGTCTGAAGGCTGTAGTGAGCAAACCCACCCAGTTACCTTCTCCTTGTTCATACCTGAGAACTGAACCCTTGTTTGCTTTTGGTTTGCTTCTCTCCTAAGACTTTCAGTTTGTAAATATTTTTTTCACTTTTATTTGTTACTTGTCACTTGAAAGAAAATGAAATTATGAATTTTTATTTTAGTTTCCTTTTCAAGGTATATACTTGTCTTGGGCCCAGCTAAAGCAGAAGTTTTCTTTTCTCAAGTTTAGCTTTTCTTATGAGAAAGTTTAATCTGTCAGGAAATCCTGCAGCTGTTTCCTGGTAGCTACATGAGAGTGTTGGCAGAAAGACATGTGCTTCTATGCAGTTCCTTGAAGGGATGACCTAGAAAGCCCAGAAAAGTACCATTAAGAAATCCTCTGTTCAAGTAGCTGATGCTTTCCTCTCTCATTCTGGTTATGCCACTGCAGAAAGCAGACTTTGTGGTAGTTACGCATGTTCTCCTGAATGATGCTGGTTTCTCCTCATAAAATCTCGGTCTCCTAAAGGAAGTGTTCTCCCTACGAGTGCTGCTCAGTAGCTCAGTCAAATCAGACATCATTTTCCAGATCTATGATGATTTTGTATCGCAAAAAAAGCTGACATCCTAAGATTGGTGGATTCTGTCTTGCTTAAATAGTGGGATGTCAGCATCCTGGAGCTTCAGTGTAAGGAGAATGATGTTCACAGTGGGAGTTTCGGCTTCCTTGGCCTTGGGTCTGGATGGATTTATTTTCATACTTCTGTATTTCCAGTTTGCCCATATGCTTTTTCTTTTGTTTCTCATTTACTCTTTTTTTCTTCCCATTCTCTGTTACTCCTAACACTGGCTTTCTCTCCTGAGTTATAAAGATTGTGCTTCTGCAGTGACCATTAATAGACCATTGGGGACCTCTGCCATATGGTACCTGTGTCTGCACTCTGCCACACTACACTTTATTCTGGTGATACAGTTCAAGCTGCACAGAATAACTACTTGTTATTAATAGAAACTGTAGTGAAACTAAAGCAGCTGTAGACCTGACTTGTTACTTCACTGCCAGATGATTGTTGTCAGATAAAATTAAATCAGCTCAAGTCAAGACAAGTCTAGGGACATTCTGAGATTCTGCACTGTCAGGTAGATGCGAAGCCTTGTGCCTTCAAGTAATGGCAAAATCCCATTTCTTGTGCTACATTCTTGTACTGGGAAAAGAGAACGCACTCCCTGTACCATTGTAACACAGACATATTATAGTGTCAGCTTCAGTAAACACTTTTGGTACGGCCAGAACTAATACCAGTTATTGCAGCACTTCACTATCTAACACATGTGTTCCTCTCTGAATAAAATCTTTGTGCTCACTACAATCATGTGTAGCAAGCATGAGCTGGAAGCTTGATTCAAGCCAACTGCAATTTGTCTTATAAAAGAACTGTTTGGTAAAGAATCACAGGAATCTTTAGGTTGAGGGGATGTCTGGAGGTCACTGGGACCAGTTACCCCCTCATACCAATGCCACCTTCAAAGTTAATGCAACTTCAAAGCATGTCAAATTGCTCAGTTAGACTCGTTCAAGTTTTGAGTGTCTGTGAGGATGGAAGCCCTCCCAGGTAATCACATAGCTAGAAAATAAACCACATGGTCTTACAATGTAGTTTCAGAAACCATTTTGCTCATATCAGGTCTTACATGAATTTCTGATGACCTGTATTGGACTTTGACCTCGGGTGGATTATTCAGCTTGCCATCCTCTTCCCTAAGTAACATTGGCTCACAAAAAAAGAAGGCAATTTTTTAATGCTAGGTATATATTAAAATATCTATTCATTATTTCAGCACATTGATTATGGGGTTTGATTGATTTTTTCTTTCTTCCATGAATTTTTATAGTTGGACAGGATTTTTGTTTGTTAGCATAGAATAATGAGGGTTTGCTGTGTCTAATTTTCTAGAATGATCTGAATTGGTAGACTTGTGTCTACCATATAAAACCTGTAATTCTGTAAACTTCAGTGTGTTAATGGTATCATATATTCAGAAGATGGTAATATTGCCACCTGGTGTTCAGAAATGCATTGCTTTTGCAGAGCATCCCATGAGTAGGATGGATTACATTTTTGTCCTACACTTTGAAGATGCTTTTTGAAGGGTTTTCCTTTTCCTTTCCTTTTTGATTTGAGCAAATTCTTAAACCTTTCTTTATTAGAAAACAATATCCATGTGTTACGTGTTCACCTAAACATCTGAATTTGACCACAACATATTACTGTAACCTTTTTTATTTAAAGTCTTTTCAAATTAAGTACAGATGTTTAATCTTTGAGGTACGTTCACATTGGCTAATTGTGAGCACCCTTTTTTCCACAAGTGGATCTTTCATGTTTCTGAAGTTTTGGTTTAGGGATGCCCGTATTCTTGAGGGTGATAGGATTGATTGATGGATTGCTGCTTTTTTTCCCAGAAATTGCCATTTGTTATGATACAATATAAGAGTTTCTTATCCCTTTATGACCTTCAGTAAATACTGTCTGAACTGTTATAGAACTGTCAAGAGAACATCTCTGCTAATGTTCAGATCTTCTTTAGAAAACAATCTCTTTTATTCAGGAGCAGTTACGTCATGCAGATCATCTTCAGGATAATTCTGTGGCATTTGTTTTTAAATCTGTGGGTTTGTTGCTCTTGTGTGGACTTTATGATGTACTGTGAGAAAAGTTTTAAATTTTAGCATTCAAGAAAACAGCTCAGTGTTTTGTTTTGCAAATGCACTGCTGTTGTGCTGACACCACGGAGAATACATAATCTTTCATTTCAGAATTAGGCAAACATAGCAAGCTGAGGCTAAGAATTTCTCATATTGAAGCAATTTTGAAAATCTAGTAGTAAAAGCAAATGGGAAGAATATACTCATATGCTTAAGCTGTGTATTGGTGATGAACAAAAAGTCTGTTCTGTCATTGAAATGCGTAATTATTTCAGAGTTTAGGAGTTCAGGGGTGGTTCTGCCATTCTATAACCAAATGTTTGAAATTTTTCATTTACCTTTAAATTGGAATTTTCCAAGTCAGTGATTCTTGCTTGGGAAGCATTCAAACAGTCAAGTAATCTTTTAGCACTGTATTTTTTACAGATATTACAGGAAGCTTTGTTTTAGCTATTTTTGTTGATTAATGCAATGATACAGAGCAAACAGGAAGGATGATCTTACAGGTATAATGTTGTGCCACATATGTGATCCAGCCATGACAGTTCTACTATATGGATGGTTTTCTGTTTTCTACGTGTCCTGAGATTACATCTGTGACACAGGAAGGCACATTTTCCTTCTGATTTTGTGAGTCTTGTCTCTAGCATATACTCTTTAAGTCACTGCCTAGTGTGGTGTGGTCCTTATCTCAGCAGAGATCTGTAAGCACAATAACTAGAATTGCTTTATTTGTAGTGTCCGTTTTAAAGAAATGCTTTATATAGACTTGTGGATATGACAGTAGGCACCTCAGATTAAGTAATATTTATTCCTAGATACATGAAGCTAAAGAGTCCCATCTATCTTTCCCTTACATTGCTTAACCAGGGAAACAACCAAAAGTAATATTCTCCTGGAAAAATATTCATATTCTTCAGTTGCTCGCTCAAGCTGATAATCGCTTCTTTTGGTCCAGCTGCTGAGAAGATCTAAGATGTTGCTTCTACTTTTAAATAACAAGGTTCAATTAAGTAATGGGGTTCTCCCTTATAGGAGTACTTTTGGAATCTGTCTCCACTAGATTGTTTCAGTAATGCTCCTACATTTATCATACTGAATGCCATCACATGCCAAAGCAGTGGTTTGTTCAGTCATGCACAGCTCATAAAATATTTTGTGAATACTTGGTGCTAAGAGAAATGAACCCAGAAATAATCTTGGGTTTGGGTGGGAGATGCTGGTGGAAGGATAGTTTGCTTCTGCTAGGTTTTCAAAAATGCTGTATAAAGTAATTCTGGAGGAGCTCAGAACATGTTTGTAATGAGTTTGTGCAGCTTGAGCAATATGGACAAGCTGTGCTTTCTTGTGACCTAAAATACAGGTTCCGAATGGCAGATTTTCATTATTTTTTTCCTATGCTCTTTCAGCATTTCATGACACCAGTTTTCTTTTTCTCGGTCTAAAAGAAAAAAAAAAGATTGCCATAAATATCTGTGTTATACTGGTTTTTATTTTTAAACAGCTTTATTGGACACTCACTGGGTAATTTAATAATCCGTTCAGTGCTTACAAGACCTCGATTTAAGTATTACCTCAACAAACTTCATACCTTCCTGTCTCTGTCTGGACCACATCTTGGTACCCTCTACAACAGCAGTGCTCTTGTTAATACAGGTGAAGTATTATTTTCAGTAGTATAACTTTAGGGGAAAATATGTCTTTGAAATACATTTAGCAATTTCGTGTGAGGTGCCCATTTCTGCATTACTGTGATAAAGAGAAAGTGCACGTTTCACTGTCATAAGAAGAAAGAAAGTATCGACAGAAGGATGTGTCAACCGTGCAAGAGATGGTTGACCTAAGGGTTTTCCAGTATGTTTGGTTCAGGTTTTCTGTTACACCATAATTACTCCATCTTTAATCTGTTGAGCTTAATTTATTATAAACTGAATTTTAATATATTTAATATATTTAATTTGCCAAACAAGTAGGTAAGATGCATTGAAGTGATTTTGAATGACTAGTGTCTTTTCTCTCTGAAAAATGCCTTACAACCTGCAGTGTGTTTCTGCAGATGTATTTGTACCTTATGAATGTCTCTTTTTCTAAAGATTAAATATAGTTCTAGAACTTGTAGAAACTGATGACTTTTGAAATAAATGTTATAAAATGCTTTTGGGTAGCATCAAATTTTTGTATGAAAACATCTACCTTGGAGAGCCCAGCCCCAAAACAAGTAACACCTTTTTCACTGAATAGAAACATGCTCATTAAACTCTTTAAAAACGCTCTAAAAAGCATTACTTGGTTTAGTGCCAGTTTATTGATTATTATTTTGTTACAAGTAAAAATGAGGAGGAAAAAATTAACTTGTGTTGAGCTTAAGAGAAGTGGACAGGCATTGGTGGCTACCTGGAGTTACTGTTTGAGTTTATAGAAGGAGGGAGAACGAGAGCTTTTTTAGTTTGGTTGAAATGGTTTCTAGCCCTAACTACACTACCAGAGAGGTTCACTTCAGGATTAAGACTGAGCATTGAATCCTAGTGTATCTGTGGACAGTGTCTCTGAAGTACTCTAGTCTGTAACTGAATCTCACCCAAATCACCCAGAAGTGTTAGCATTACTTTGCTTTTAGAAATTGTTGTTTTCTAGGATACAAAGGCGGGGCCATTTGCTTGTTTATATAGTCACTGGCAACTGACTTTGTCAGCTCAGGTTAAAGCTATCAAAGTATAATCCAGAATATATTCACTGAAAAAAATAAAGATTTCTGGAGAATTTTATCTCTTTTGTAGTTAAGGAACGTCCAAAACGTAATGTAATAGTCATGTAGTAGTCTTCCTTTACATTTTAGACTCTTTTTAAGGTTGTGGAAAACACCAAGATAATAAGTAATGGTTATTGAACTCTAAATAACTATACTGCATGTATACATTAATAACTACCAATAAATTTACTGGAAAAGGTTGCCCAGAGAAGTCATGGATGTTCAGTGTTCAGGGCCAGGTTGGATGGGGCCCAGAGCAGCCTACCTGCTCTAGTAAGTGGCATCCCTGCCCATGGCTAGATGATGTTTGAAGTCCCTTACAACCTAACAATTCTATGATTCTATTCCATGAAATTTCTATTTAAAAGATAACTACTTCTCTGAGAGTTGAATCAATGCATAAAGGCATTCATGAGGCAGTAAGGGCTTGGTTGCTTTGCTTTTGCATGGAGAGTGAGGTGGATTTTCCGAAAAGCCAGTTAGCCACCTGGGTCATTGACTAATAAAGAGAATACAGCACCACAGAAAATACTGTATTATCGTATTCCTCAGAGAAAATTCTGCTTCCTTTTTTCAAGCTATATGTAATGCGTTCAGTTTAGAAATCTGAGAAGTAATGGCTGTTGTTTAGTGCTATGTATTTGAACATCAAAATGTTCTAATATTCTAGGATTATTGAAATAGAATGTCTACAGTGCCTTATGGCTAACATCAGTAAGGATTTTCACTTTTTGCAAGTGTGGTTAATCTTTATAGGCAGGCATGTACATTAGTGGAAATACAGGCCTTCATGTTTCATTATATAAATAAACAGGAAAGAATAATGAAAAAAAAATTAAATGGTTTCTGGGCTTGACAATGCTTATGACAAGTAGAATTTACATCTGAGAGCCTAAATTATGGATTTTACGTATTGTACTCATGTTTAATTAGTTTCCATGTTTTATTGTGGATCTGTACTCATGTTGTAACCTAACAATGCAGGACTGTGGTTTATGCAGAAATGGAAGAAGTCTGGTTCTTTGTTGCAATTAACATGTCGAGACCATTCGGATCCACGACAGACATTCTTATATAAACTTAGTAAAAAAGCAGGTAAGCTTTGTTAATACCTCCTATCTTTTAACGGCCACTTTGTATAAATGTGAATAGGAAACCTAAAAAAAAAAAATTGTTTCTAACAAGCTCCTGTTTCAGTTTATTTAAGAGTTACTTTGGCTTTAATCCTATATTCTTCAAGTTAAATAAACAGTAAACCATTTTTGTTGCAGAGGTGTGGAGTATTAGTTTGAAAATTTTCTTCCTGACTAATGAGCAAAAGTTCTGAGTGCAGTCACTATACTGAGAGACAGATATGAGGTTTTTTATATCTGTCTGTCTGTCTGTGAGTCACTGTGTGAGTCAAGTAAATATACATACATTTAGGATTACCTGTTTCTTTATCTGCCTTTCTTATCTATGTTTTGTTGGGGGTTTTTTGCATGTGTTACATCGCATGTGGGGATGAAGATAGTATATTTAAACGTTGATAGACATAGACTGATGTTCCTCTAGATATTCCCCAGGATATCTCTTCCTTCTTCAGATTTATTGAAAGATCTAGGCAGTTCACTTAGAATCACAGAATAGTTTGGGTTGAAAGGGACCTTGAAAGGTCATTAAGTCTTCCTTGTACATTTTACATGACTGCTAATGGATATTTCACTAGATAAAGCGCATATAAAAAAAAACTCACATCAAGATAAGTAGACTCCCAAGGAATTTGCAAGACTATTGCAGGTTAGCCTTCAGAGAATTCCTGTCCTTGGTCTATTTATTCCAAATTCATTCTTTTCAACTCAGTACAAAGTTTTGGAACTGGCAACTGCATCTTTGTATAAGATTTGCTGCAGTTATTTTTCATCAGATGTCAAATAAAAACTTCCAGTGATTTGGCTGATCTTTTGCAGCAGTGTTGTTTTTTTCCTGTTTGAAGAGAACTGGAACCAGGATCTAGTTTGGATACATCTTGCCTATATTTTTATATATTTACAAATTACTTTTTTTCCCCATTTTCTGTGAAATCTAGGAAGATACTCTTTGACATACTGAAGTTCTTTAGCATTGTTTCTATAACTCACTTGATTTGGAGATCTAGTCTTCATCACATGGAGTGTTAAAAATATTGAAAACTAGGAAACAACCTTTGTATTTAACTGTAGGTGGCTGTGATATTCAGAAGGGGTTGTTCTAAGGCAAAGGCAACCTATTTTCCTGAAGTGCTCCATTGTATTTGGCCTAAAGCAGATGGGCAGCACCCGAAATCTGCTGAACCTTTTTAGAGAAAACATAACAATTAAATGTCTTAAGGACTGTAACTGTGTCATTACTGGGGGTTCCTACCTTTGCATCATCTTACTGTTAGCATGTTTGTCCAAGAAGTAGGAAGTCTGAGTTTAGTTATAAAGGTTTCATTGTACTGGGGGGTTGTGTTGGGTTGACCCTGCACCTGTGCTGGAGCTGGTTAAACCTTACAGTGAGACAGTGCCTAATAGAGGCACCTGCACTATGTGGGCTGTATCGTGTATGTGTAGATGCTAGGCATGAATTCTGATGCAGCTGTTGACTGAAACATCAGTGAAGGCAAGGCACTATCCATCATTAGGTTTCTTTAAGCCATGTGAAGGCTTGACTCCCTTCTATCACCCAGAAACCAACCACTGTATTCCTAAGAAGCAAGATGGGTGTTTGAACCCTACTTGATTTAGATGGGAAACATTACAATTGGGTCGTGCCCACGTGTATTAAATATGTACAGAGGAAAGGCTGGTACCCAACATCTTGTTATTTTGTAGCTCTACCTATTGTAATTGATTTTTCTGCCTTTTTTGGCAAGATCTTGTAATGAAATGGTACCAAATTTTGTTGTAAAATGCTTAATTATTCTGTCATAATTGTCAAGGGATTAACTGTAATAGAAACATTTTTCTCTTTTCTTGTAGGTCTTCATTACTTCAAAAACATTGTGTTAGTAGGATCTCTGCAGGATCGTTATGTTCCTTATCACTCCGCTCGCATTGAGATGTGTAAAACAGCTTTAAAAGATAAACAATCAGGTATTAAATATCCTGCAAAAGAAACAAACCACTCAGGTTAAAACCTCACAGTTATCAGTCTCATCCCATTTAATTTTGGGTGGTTAACTGAGGCACCTCTATTATGTGTTTAGACACTCTGGACTTACTTTGTAGTAATGGAGAAAGAAAATCCATGTCGGAGCTGAATTGCTTTCTGGATCTGTCCTGTTCTATTACATGCAGAAGGAGATGAGACTGAATAAATTTCTAGCTTACAGACTTTGCTTAAAGTTAGGTGGGATGGACACAGCCTCCCTCCATGAACAGGGAGGACAAACAGCTTTGATTTTTGAGGATATTAAGTTGTAGTGTCAAGCCCTGGGCTGTAGTTACTCGAGGCTTAATAGTAACACGAAAAGAAAAGGTAGTTTTCCCACTTTCAGTGAGGGTCAGTAGTTACATTTACTGTTGAGACATCCTAGCACAATTGTATTCTAACATTATATATTGGCAAATAAATAACTTTTACATAGTGTAATAAATACTGATGAGCACATTCTCACTGTAAATGTACAAATACTAAAACACATAGCTTAAAATTATTTTTCCAACATTTCTGGAGGAAATTAAACTTCCTGTATATTCTACCTTAACAGAACCACAGCATAACACATTTCGTTACCTCTCTTACTATGGAATATGTTCTTCTTGAGTTCAAGGTCAAAGAATTGTTAGTGCTTCCGGTGATTCACACAGTACAACTTTTTTTTTCCTCTACAGGACCAATTTATGCTGAAATGATCCAGAACCTGCTTCTGCCAGTTCTTCAAAATAAGGAATGTAATTTGGTTCGTTATAATGTAATTAATGCATTACCCAATACAGCAGATTCTCTCATAGGGAGAGCTGCACACATTGCTGTTCTTGATTCAGAAATATTTTTAGAAAAATTCTTTCTTGTTGCTGCCCTAAAATATTTTCAGTAAGAAGAGCATTGTAAGAGACTTGGTTATTACCTCATTAACAGATGAATTCAAATAATGTGTGGTGTTAAAGTATAGCCTAAGCTGTATTTTAAGAGATATTTATACTTTTTATATGGAAGATAATTTATATCATCCACACTTAGGGCTTTTTAACATCAACTTTACTTTCTAGGTAATGTGGCTGTGCAATATTTTTTTATTTTGTTCTTTTTACTTTTCTATTACTTTTTCTTAATTTTGGGTACCTAATTATTTGGAGATTAAAGCACAGTGTGTACTTTGGTTGGTTTGTTATTGGCTCTCAGACTACAAAAGTCAATGTTACTTGGCTACATTTTACCAGAGGCTATAGATGCCAAAAATAAATTGGATTTTAAAATTCTAATAAGGTCTTCTTACGTGTTCAGTTGTCGTATTTTAGCACTGTAGGAAGTTTAACTGGAAACACAATGAGCTGCTAAAATACTGGATGTTTGAAAATGACAATACTGCGAGTCTCACTACAGCTTAACAGTTTTCTACAAAAGCATTATCTTCATTGTCAAATATATTATGCCTGTGGGAATACATTTTCTACTGATCTCAAAAACATGTTAGTTTACATACACAAATTTTATTACTGGAACTTTCGTTTTCAGAAGCAAATGGCAACTAAGGATTTTTGAATGTTCAGCGATAGCTGCCTTCAAACAGTTGGGGTTTTGCAAACTATTAAAATGGCTCCCTACTCTGTCAGTTCTTCAGATGAACATGGACAATTTTACATGGACTTCCTTGTATGTAATTAAAATAAGTAAACATTATAAGTTTCTGCAATACTTTTATGAATTTAAGCAGTTTTTACATATTGTCAAAACATTTTATTGACTACAAAGTATTGTAAATATAAATCAGTACATCGTCAAATGGGACAATATTGTAAACTTTACCTGTTTGGTGACACAGATAAAATGTTTTTTGATATACAGGAATGTTAAAGGTCTATTGACTTTCTACTGGTGCTGAATAGCATTGTTTGGTTTCTCCTTCCTTCTCTTTTCTCTGTTTCAGACAATAATTCACTACAGGTTGGGGGAAAAGAGTTACATGTGCATTCACTAATTGTACACTAATTGTAATGAACATTTTTTGAAAAACATAAATTTGTTGTAAAATGCATGTTTATTTTTAGCATTGTGTTATTGCATCTGGTGTTAATAAAATGAACAAATTACTCTAATGGAAGCAATTAAAGAAACTGAAATGTTATGCTAATTACCAAAATTCTGGGGAGGCTTTTTTGTATATAATTAATAATTTTGTACTTTTGAAATGAATATAGCAATAATAGTTTATAATGAAGTGATTTTGCATTTGATATGGTTTGTTGTATAATAGTCTTTGTAATATATGGGGGGGTTTTTTGCCTGTAGCATACAAGGATGCTCAAATGAGTATCTACAGTTCAGCAATGTACACGCTGTAAAGAGTACTTTATTAGAGTTGTGTTAGGCAACTCCTTCTGACACAAAGATGTCTTAAATACATTCTCACTATAAAAATGTCTATTTTTATTAATAATTTTGTATTATAATGGTACTACTAGTTCTAAATGTTTAAATTATGTTCTGGTATCTCAACTGTCTTTTATTTAAGAGTATTATAGTAGTTGGCTAGTGGCTAAACTTTGAATATCCATTTAAGGGCGCTAAAGCTACAAAATATTCCTTGATTTACAATGAGGAGGTTAAACTGTTCTTAGTACACAAGTATTTAGATGGTTCTGTCACTGTTGAAAAATGTCCATCTTCTTTTCTGTCTCTGGAAATCTGAAAATATAAAGCATGCTTTTGTGATCAGCAAAGCAGAAATATCCTGGCAGAAACAGTCTTTTTTTTTTTTCTTTATTAGTAGATCCCATCCACTTAAGGAAGCTTGAATTAGGTTTGTTCTTTGAGGGGAACAGACGGTGCAGGAAATCATATGATATTCGCATATAAGTTTATCAAGGAACAGGGCAAATTAAGAGAACATTAAATTCATTTTTTCTCCCCTCACTTGTATTGCCCAGTGCAGTCCATATGTGGTCTGGTAGCCCAGCACGTCCTCAAAGCATATGAAGTTCATATTTGCTCTTACAGACTGTATGGTACACTTGGTCTCTGAGCAACACATACAGTCTTGGATGTTTTGGACAATTGTGCATGTGTTGTGTGGCATGTTCCCCCTACTCCTGCATATTTCTGCCTTCTCTTTCCTTGACAGAAATACAGACTCATATATACCTAATTGTGTCATCTGATGCAGTAGCAGCTATAAAGTGCTCCATCTCATCAGTCTTCTCTTTGAATCAGGGCTTCATCTTCCCGTAGTGACAGTGACCTCACCTTATGCAGGTATCCTACAGGTCCTTGAAGAATTATTCTGCTTACAGAATGAGAGGTAAGAATTGAGGTCGACATTGCTTTAGAAAACTGCCAGTCTCTTGTTCCATGAAGGCAGTAGGCTGCTACTGTTATTTCACAGAGCTCTCTGTGATATTATTAGGAGGTCACTACATAAAATGAGATAGTGTCTGAACTTTGGTTTGCATGTAGTATATATAAATTACTTCCTTTGTTTGTGTTTGAATCTTCCATCAAAATTAATCTTTCTGGTCCTGTAGATCTAGCAATTGCTACTACTTTGGAAAAAGAGCTCATGTTATAAAGGAAATCACCAGGCTTTACAGCATACCCAAGAGATTTCACATTCACAGAAAACTTACTCTGTAACCACAAAACCCCTTGATTCCAAGCCAGTTTTATTTGCCCAGCCCTGACCAGGTGTGGTGTTCAGATAATCAAGCTTCTTGACGGGGTCTGAGAGGAAGAGTGGGCATATAGGCAGTTACCAGAACACTTGCTGCCTGGGGCAGTGCTGGTTGTGGTGGATTCCAGATAGCCCCGTGGCCATTACATTTGGCTCATCTGAATTGACCTGCTGCAGGCCTTGTGGTACCTATACATCTTTGACTTCCCACTTTTTAGAAAAGCAAAGCAAAATACAGCATTGTTTGTGTCGTCCTCGAGAGGCAAACTGCAGTGCAAGAGATAAATGATCAGTAAACAGAGGAACAAAAAAAAACCAACATTGAACTCAATCACAAAGTAGAATATTCCTGTGGCATATGCTACATTTGTTTTTCCAATGTTCAGATTTATTACCTCCTCAACCACAGGATCTAGAAATGCATAATTCAGGAGTTAAAAGTGAATTTTGCATTTTTACAGCAATACAATATATGAAGACTAAGAAAAAAAATGTTTTGAAGACCTCAAGTTATTTTTGGGTGGATAAACAGTAACTCATTAATCCTTCATTGCTATTTGATCCTTACCATTTGAAATTGCACATGTATGCATGTGCATATGATGGATGCGTGTGTGTATGATTTTTCATGGATTGTGTTAAGCTGTTTAGGAGCAGAGCTTACTATTACTTGGTATCTGCAGACAGCTTGGTATGAGTTTTTCTGTATTGAACACCTAAATTATAAGTTCTTGAACTTCAAAGAGATCTTCTGGGGTTTTTTTTCTTGTTCCTTTTGGGCAGAAGAGCATTTTTTTCTGCATTCATCTTTATTCTCTCTCATCTAGAGGCCCAGCATCTCGCTGTTAGAATAAAGGAAAGGATTTCTCATTATTTTCAGTCTCTAAAGTCTAATTAATTATGTTATAAAAAGCTGATTGAGAAAATGTCACTCATAAAGCAGTCAGTTATATTTAATCACTTCCAGTGTGTAGTCATTGCCAGATGTAGTGCAATAAACTCAAGGGAGCATTGCTGTTTTTACATTACCAAGGAGATTTACTTTCTTAAACTCTTCAGATGTGAACACAAAATACTATTTTAGACTCAGATCTCCAGGTTGTTTTCTGTAGTTTAGTACCTGTGGACAGAGGGGTTCGATTTCTGTTTTACGGAAGGACAAGGTTAGCTGGAGAAGTTTGAACAGTGACAAAAAGCAATATTCATTGTTGCCATATTCATATCATTAAATGTGGCTAATTAACTGGAGCTCCACTCCATGAGCATGGGTGTTACTTGTCCCAGGGTTAGGGTTATACTGAAATACAGTGTTAAAAGCACCTTCCCTGGTTAAACTGGAAAACTGAAAAGGTGCCATCCAAAGTCCTCTGGTCCAGCAGGGGTTGGTGGCTCAATTTCTTGCTACTTTCTTGCTGGAAGGGTGAATATTGCCTGTTTGAGTGCAGAAAATGCATCAGCTGGTGTACTGGACAGAGGGAGATAAAGTTTATTTGTTGAGTTAATAAAGCATTTAATATTTAAATAATTTTTGTAACCTTGAAGTTATACGGCCTTTAATTTGTAAGGACGAACACTGGGTCCATATGTCACTATGGAATCAGCCAAAGTTCCTTCACGTCTTAGGCTGCCTTTTTCAGCAATGTGTTTTTATTATTAAAACAAAACCAAAACTAGCAGGATTGTACTACACATGGGGGTTGGGAGGGAAGAAGGGAAATGGGTCCTTTCAGCGCTAAAACTCTTTCATTGCAGAGGAGAGAGAGGATGCCAAAGGTTTGCGGGGGAGGGTGGGGAGAGAGGAGTTACAGCTGATTTCCCGAGCACCTTCATGAGTCCGGAGCTGCCTTCTTGGGGGCCGTGCCTCCCTAGGCGCCGTTCGCCTCCATTCATCGAAGCCCAGGAGCGGGGTGGGTGGCGAGGCAGGTGCGGCTCCGCTGCCCGGACCCTCCGCCCTCACGGGAGCCGCACTTCTCGCCTGGAGCCGCCGCCTTCGGCGCCTGCGCGGCCGCGCTGCCTGCCCGGCCCGCCCCGCTCCCGGCCCGGCCATGGCTCTGCGGTTGCTGCGCGGAGCGCCCAGCGCAGCGAGTAAGAGGCGGGCGGAGGGCGGGAGGGGCCCGGCTGTGCCGCGAAGGGGCTCCTCGGCTCCCTCAGCCCTTCCTCCCGCAGGGAGGGGCGGGTGAAGGGGAGAGGACGGGCACCGCCCGGAGCTGCCGGCGTTGGGGGGGCTGGAGGGCGCCCAAGATGGCGGCGGGGGGGGGGAGCTGTGACACCCCCGCCTCGTGAGCCCGGGAGGTCTCAGAGAGTCTCTGTGCGGTCCCACAGCTTTCCCCGCACCCTCCATTTCCCCACAGCTCGTCTGCTGTCTTCCTACCCCACCCCCCGGATATTAATATTCTTCCCTGTATCGCAAGCCTGCTATCGGGTATATCTGTTATTACGCAGGTTTTCTTGCCCTGTCGTTGCTCCGAACTTTTTAACGGTAGTGAAATGTTAAACAGTGGGTTAATGTTTGTAGAATAGCTGGAGGGAACTTACTGTGGCCTTGGAAGTTACTGGTTCGTGCCCTTCACCTGAGGAGGTTCATGTGGTTTGTTTATAGAGAAATAAGGCAGCCTGGATAACAGAGCCTGTCCCACAGGCCTCAGCTTGGGCTGTTTGTGGAGCTGCTGGTCGGGCTGCTTCCCTCTAGCAAAAGCTGAGGTTCTGTGATGCTGTTGATACAATACTTCACTACGCTATATGTTAATGGAAGAACTAGGAGAAAACGTTGTTAGGTATTTGTGCTCTGTTGGGTTCATGGCAAGATTTGGCTGATGCTCTAATGTCCTGAGCATCCTGATGTGTGCCCAGCTTCCACTGCAGGGATGGCTTTGTTGTGATAAATCATCATCTGTAGACCACTTCAAAAGACAGGATATTGCAGACGCTGGTAGTGCAGCAGCTTTAAAGACTTGGAATTTTCAAATTCAGCTATATCATTGTGTAACTCGTATATATACTTAATAAATGGGAGGGCTTTGTGAGAGCCTGTAAGGGATGAGGGAATCAAAGATCAAAGAATGTGATATCAACTGATGATAGTTCATCCCATCTTTTTCAGAGATATTTAATGTTGAACTTTTGTTGCTTCTCTGTCAAGAAGAGTGTATTTTGGTCAAGAATATCAAGTATTGCAAATAGGAAAATTGATTTTGCCTCTTCTCTGGTGATTGAGATAATTGATTTCATACCAGTATCTTAATCTGACTTTTGTTTGAATTTGGACTAGAATACCAGCTATAATTTAATTTTCTAGCAAGCTGCTTTTTCAGCTTGCTGAAGAATGACAGGAGTAGAAAGATCCAGTGTTTGCAACAGATTAGATACTTTACTGTTGATAGTTTGTTATGTCATTCTTAAACTAAAAAAAAAAAAATACTCCTTTGGGGCATTGGCAGCAGTTGGTAGACATAATACAGTTTACGTGGCTCTAGGGTCTAATGTTAAAGCTGTGGTCTTTTAAAATGAGTGAATGAATACGCTGATTCTGGGAATACAGGTGGGTTGTTGGTTGGTGTATATTTAGGTGAGTCAAATTCATGCTGCTTGAGAAGGTTTCCTGATTAAATCTCCTCAGCAAGATGGAATAATATTTATTTCAGGTACTTTGCACCCAGCTGGTACAGGGAGGATTTCTGTTTGAATGTTCCTTCTTAAGTCAGAGTTGTTTTAGGTACCTGTCCATAACCAAAATATTTTTAGAGGATAGTTTATGCTCACTGTGGACACTTGGCTTTTTAACCAAAATGTTAGTAGGACTTTAAGGAAAAAAGTTTATGCTTCTAATTAAAGCATTTGCATGCAGTTATATAATTGAACTTTAATGTGCTCAAAGTTTGTCCTGCTTTTGACTACCAGCTGAATTATTTTACCATCCTAAGGGAAGCCCAACTATCCTCTGCCGACATTCTGGAAAACCTGTTACTAAGGGAACAACGTTTATTTTACTTTCCTTTGAGAAAGCAGAAGCCTTTTCTGGCTAAAAAGCTGCTGGAAATGAGTCAAGATGTGGAAATCAGCAGGTTTCTTGGGGGAGGTTAAGACTTTTCCCAGAAAGCAGAATGTACTGATCTATGGTAGCATAATTACTATTTAGAGTCTAAAATACAAGAAGGTAACAGCGAAGGTAAGTTCAAGCAGTTTAAAATACACTGTTTATGTGAACTAAGTTATGCAACTAACACAGTTTTGCCTACATATGTTTCTAGGACCAAAAATAATTATCTGTGCTGATTTCTTAGGTCATCATGAGTTGAATGTTAAATAAATTTTAGGGTTTGTTTTCCTGTCCTCCACTCCCTAGTTTCTGAAGTAGGGTTTTTTCAGAGGTGCTTTGAACAGTCATAGAGTTACTTGGTGTTAAACTCTCACACTTATGATACATGTTCCATTTGCTTGATAGAGCCATCACTTCTTTACAACTTGTGGAGCAGCTCCAGCTCTAAGCCAGAAGGAAGATCTGGACCTACTAAGCAGCCACTTAAGAAACCGAAGTTACCAGTAGGCCGATTTGATGAACCGGAAGAATCCAGTATAGAGAGGGAACCCCTGGAAAGTAAGTCATTGATATGGTTTGAAGCTGGCTCCCTGCCAAGTCTCTAAACCTCGCCACAAAAACTCCACCTGCCTCCCAAACCAAGGGAAAAGAAAAAAACCCAAGAGAACTGAAAGGAGAGAGAGACAGCTAAAGCAATATATATAAATATATTTACACTTATATTACAGTTATATACAATTGAAATATATATACAATTTCAGAAGGAAAAAGGGAAGGGGGAGGGGGAAGGAAAAAAAGGAACAAAACCAAAATAAAATATACACGATCTAGCAACTAAAAGAATTAGCAAAAGAATATCTTACTGCTACTGTTGCTTCTGTTGCTGGGACAACAGAAAGTCGCGCTGGAACGACCACCGGCAACCTCCATCTCCCAAGGTCGGCAGGGCCTTACCAGGCCTCACTCCCCAACACGGCAGACTCAACAGCGGGGAAACCCGCACCTCTGAAGCCACTGGAAGGAAAGAGGGGCGAAGGCCTCTCCTCCTTTCTTCTTATAGCCTGGCTTACGTAAAAATTGTAAGGAATACCAGGTAAATCTGGGCACTTCCTTGGTCACAAACTGGTCACCAGGGAAGGCCTAGACTACTCCAGTCATGTTTTACAAAATTGAAAGCTGTTTTAAAGGCAAGACTGTGAGATGCTGTGCTGATGTCAGTTGAAGAAAATGACTGGAATTCAGCACTCCTCAGAAACACTTTCTAACCTTAATGGTTCTGCAAAAAAAACAGGACAATGGGAGAGAGTAACGAGCTGCAGGAAATGGAGTATGAGAGAAAAAGTCTTCAGAGCAAAGGTGGTCAAACATTGTAACAAGTCACCCAGGGAACCTGTGATTCCTCTCCTCTTGGAGATATTCAAATTTACTTGGGTTCTTATGCAGGGCTGGGGCCAAGTGCCTGCAAAAGGTGCCTTCCACCATAAACCATTGCGTGATTCTGAGAAATGTAGTTGGTATTGGTCTGTAATAGTACAGCTGTAAATAGTGGCAGTAAACTCACGAGGGCACTGGCTACTTTTTATTATTCAAAAAGCCTATTCTATTTCTTAGTCCACAAAATATTTCTTATTCATGCTGCATTTCGTGGCCCAACTTTCTGTTGGTCTTGCAGACAGTGTTTTGAAAAGCAACAACAGATACTGAGTTTACTAAGCTGCTCATTGGGGTCTGGGAAGACCTAACAAAGAGCTATTTGTGTTGCATTCCAGTGACCTCAGTGGGACTGCATGTAGAGAACCTGACAAGATTAAGGCAGAGATCCATCACTGCTGAATTCACTAGGAGCATGCACTTTTTTGTCAGATGGAAGAACAACAGAATCTCTTTCTCCCTTCTTTTTAATTAGTCATCTTCCCTTAATCAAAAGCACTAGTCATGCTTTATCTAATTCACTGTAGTGTGATGTTCTGCTACTCTTCAGCAGTAGTGGTAACCCATGTTTATCTATTTCGAGGTCTCTAGAACAAGCTTTTTAATATATCAGTATCCAGATGACAAAATGACTAAGGAATCACAGAATGGTTTGGGTTGGAAGGGACTTTAAAGATCATCAAGTTCCAAGCCCTTGTCATGGGCAGGGACACCTTTCACTAGACCAGATTGCTCAGAGCCCCAGTCAACTTGGCCTTGAACACTTCCAGAGATGGAGCATCCCCAGCCTCTCTGCACAACCTGTTCCAGTGCCTCACCAGCCTCACAGTAAAAAAATTCTACATAATATCTAAACCCGCCCTCTCTCAGTTTAAAGCCATTCCCCCCTGTCCTTGTAAAAAGTCACTCTCCAGCTGTTTTTTATAGGTCCTCTGTAGGTACTGAAAGGCTGCAATAAGGTCTGCCCAAAGCTGCCTCTTCCCCAGGCTGAACAACTCCAGCTCTCTCAGCCTGTCTGCACAGGAGAGGTGTTCCAGCCCTCTGATCATCTTGGT